GGTTATCTCCGTTTTGTGTGGTGTGTTATCTCCATTTTGCGGGGTGGGTTATCTCCGTTTTGTGTGGTGGGTTATCTCCGTTGTGTGTGGTGCGTTTTCTCCGGGTTTTTTTTTATTTTCGACCGCCAACCACGCAAAGCCAACCCCTCTCGAGTGGCATTTGCTAAAACGTCCCCAAATGAGCAGGACCCTCCCAAAACAAAACAAAATCCAACACTACACAACAAAAAGGAGTCGAGGCTCAGTGAATCTTTCCCCAGCGAGGGGGTGGCAGGGGAGGAGTAAACAATTGGCAATGTTAAACACTGCAGGAGCAGCAGTAATAGTCGTCGTTGTAAACACGTTTCTGTAATGAAGTAATGGCATTTTATTTCCTCCTGTATGCTGCCGTGTGTTTTTAGGTCGATGATGAAGTAGACTTCGCTACGGACCCTTGCCTTTCTTGCCCCACTCCCCCACTCGCTATACTCCCCCGCGCCCACCCCCCTTCCGCCCCCCCCCCCCCGTTGTCCGCTACAAGAGGATGAAATGCATGGAGCATGATTCATTGCCAGCCGTTCCTGTGGCTACGATGGAGCGGTTGGGGGTTTCCCTCCCCCCCCCCCCTCTCTCTCCTTCTCTCCATTCTCGCCCATTTTATCTCAGAATCCTTGAAGGTTGGAGACTGTGGAGAAGCCAGCCATAAGGCACGGCTTAGAATTGTTAACGTGCGGTTGGAGACGCACGAACCCCCCCCCCCCGCGCGTCGGACGAGCGAGACGGTGTGCGCTGGGCGGTGTGTTTAGTCATCGCTGGAAATTCCCGTGACTCAGCGGAGCCGAGCCTGGATTCTGCCTAAGCCACTCGAAGCGTTAAAAAAATTCAGTAGCGCTCAGAAATTTCAGTCGTCAAGAGCGCCTTCTAGCTCATCGGATTCCTCCAGTGGAATTACATTGATTCTGATTCTGAAAAGGAAAAAAAATACGTTGCAGGCAATGGCGGAGCCAGGATTTTCAGGTGGGGGGGGGGGAGAGCAGCCCCTCCAGCAATGAAAAATGATAGAGGAGTTGTTAGCAAGCAAGGACTTGTCCCTTGCTTTTTATTCGACGCGTGTGCGGCGATGGCTCAGCCATCGATCGAGGTGGCGAGTTCGAACCGCGTGGTGTGATCGGCATCGCGCTCGCTGAAGGTGTCGATGCCTTCAGGGAAACCGCGTGCCGAATACGCAACTGCGCTCAATTCTGCGAGTCGCTTATAACCGCTTTGCCGTTACTTATTGCCAACTATGAACTCAAGACTATTGTCCTATCATCTCACAGAGTCCCTGGCACGTAATAATATGCTACACAGTGGCAGTGAGGGTCGCAAAATGCCGATTTATTACTAATAAACCCCAATGATCCGATCGAAATTAGGGATTTCGATCGGATAATTGGGGGAACACGTGCCACCCCCCCCCCCCCCCCCACTGGCTCTGCCAGTGGCTGCAGGCAACGTTCCGGGGCAATGGCCCTTCGGGTCAAGGCACCGCTATTGACGAACGTTTTCGAGTTTGTTTTTGTTTTTGCCACGTGTGCTTGTGTGCACCACTGCCCAATACCAGCAGCATCACCAAGTAGTTTAAGTTATAAGGCAGGATGCTTTGTGGAGTTGCGGCACCGTGGTTGTGAACACGACACCCGAGTTCGATTCCCAGCCATGGCTAACGTTGGTTGCGAGGTGAGAGGTGAACTGGTCCGGGCTTCCCCTTCACTAACCTGCGATAGCCTGCGTGGTGAAGTATGGTCAAACAACCCCTGACTGGCACGGCGTGGGGAGGCCTTCAGCAGTGCTGATCTCGTCAAGGGGCGCAAACCACCATCATCACGCGAACTCCGATCATCCTCGCAGCAGCGGCTTTTGACGAAGCCATCGGACAAAGACGGCGATTTTGGATGCGCTTCCGCGGCCGTCTGGAACGCTCTTTCTTCCCGATATTAGGAGCTATGCACTTTTAATCAATGTTGAAAACGAACTTCTTTAGAACTGCTCTTTGTGTTTAGTTTATTGTCCTTCCCACCCCCCCCCCCCCGCACCTCCGCACCTCCGATTAGCACGGTTGGCTACGTATGGCTCGGATCGCTTCGCTGAATCGTGGGGACTCCTCGCATTGCAGAGGGGCGCATCATGACCGCTCCTGCCCCCAACATTTTATCGGGACAACTAAGAGCAATTTGTTCATGCGCCCTGGCACCGAGTAGCATACCCACAGTATCCAATACACACACACACACACAGTATCCAATACACACACACACACACACAGTATCCAATACACACACACACACAGGTGATTGTGAACACACCACGTTCTGGTGGTGTGCAAGAACGGCTGGAAAATTGACATTTGTCACACACATTGTCTCGCTTATAATTAAAGCAAGTGCAGTATTTAAATGCCAACGTGAAAACTAGAATATATATATAACGTGGGTGCCCAGAACGTATGGCCGAGTAGAGAAGGTCACTGGTTTTACTCATAGGGGAAGGGGTGAGGAGCCTAACGTTCTCCATTGCTTTAGTCCGCACGCTAAACGCTTACAGACACGCCATCTCCATTGGCTGCGAGCTGGGAAATTCTTATCGTGCGGGCGTGACACTGAAGCCCATGTGAAGCGGGCAAAGTCCGCCACCGGATTCTTCGTCGGTGAATGCGGATTGTGTTGCTTTGTGAACGTGCATGTGTCTGTGCATGTGTCTGTGCATGTGTCTGTGCATGTGTCTGTGCATGTGTCTCTGTGCATGTGTCTCTGTGCATGTGTCTGTGCATGTGTCTCTGTGCATGTGTCTCTGTGCATGTGTCTGTGCATGTGTCTCTGTGCATGTGTCTGTGCATGTGTCTGTGCATGTGTCTCTGTGCATGTGTGTCTGTGCATGTGTGTCTGTGCATGTGTGTCTGTGCATGTGTGTCTGTGCATGTGTCCCTGTGCATGTGTCCCTGTGCATGTGTCTGTGCATGTGTCTGTGCATGTGTCTGTGCATGTGTCTGTGTACACGTGTGCGTAGCCGTGGCCTTCATAGGTGCTCGCTAACAGCACTTGCCCCTACAGTCTGTTAAGGCTATATGGGGGATCTTTGTAGCCGTGGCGCAGCAGTTTGCACGCTGCGCTACGAACCCGGCGACCCGAGTTCGATTCCCGCGTACGGCCAGCACCACCAGTGACCGTTATCCGAGCCGGTGCTGGGCCTCCCCTAGGTCGACTCGGCCTCAAAACGAGTGCCTGGTGCGATGCGTTAACATCGCCACTCGGGGACGAAGGTGGCCGGGCGTGGCGCCGGCCACCTACCCCGCTCGTGTGCCGTGCCGGCCTTCATCGGCACTTGCCCCGCCGGCCTGTCAAGGCTACACGGCGGACCTTTGCCTCGGCGCGCGCGTGGCTGCCGCATCCACGGCCGTCGAGGTTTGTTCCCTCGCGCCGTCCTCGTTGCCCCCCAAAAAGTCCCCCGCCGGAGGCCGCGGGCCGGCTCGCACGCGGCCACCGTTGTATCGGCTGCGCGACGCGACTCCGATGAGGTGCGCGAGCTCCTCGTTGCGAGCGTGCAGACACACGTTCACGCGTTGGCGGTCGCGCGTCGGGCAATTCTGTCTTTGCTTACGGCTGAGGGCGAGTGCCAGCAGATATTTCTTGGCACTTGGCTACGAGTGGATTAACATGATGACGGCGATTGCCTGTGTTGCGATCGAAACGTCGTGATTTGTTTTGTTTTCTTTCGTTTCTCACTCCGTGACTTTTACCGAAGGAGCCAAAGAGTGTGGATTCCTGCAGTCGCGAAAGCTTCAAATCAAGATTCGTTGTTGTTGTTGTTGTTTTTTTCAACGCTACTTGGCATTTGCGCAAAGTGACTCCGGAACGTACGTTTGTTTATGTCGCGAGAAGATGCGCATGACTAGAAAATCATGGTTATCGTCGTTGTGGAGGTTTTTCCTAAGAAGGTAAATCAACGGACAATTGTCTTGTGCTTCCCACGCCTGATACGCCACTTGAAAAATGATTGTATATATTTTTTACACATCTCACCGACCACATGGCCTTCTGGGAGTGAATTTTTTTCTTCCAGCAGTGTTGGTTTAATACAGTACAAGGGAACTCTGCACCGGTCTCAAAATTCAGTGTCTTAAGCGGCAGAGTCCCGGCACGCTTAAAACAATGCTGGTGAATTTGCCAGATGTTTTAGAAATACGGGTCCTAGTTCAATTGCAATGTTAGCCTACGGGTAACATCAGTGGGGAGTGATATCTGAACTGTTCCTGAGCCGCTACCCTTCCCCTTCACCACAAATTGACCAGTGTGGTGAAGTATGGTCAAATTACCACCAGCTTGACCAACGATCCACAAATGCGGAGGGCGATGCACCGCCCCGCTGCTTCCGACACCGGATGTCTGGCTTGACCACCTGAATGTGAAATTATATTTGTTGCACTGCATCTGCAGAGCAAGAAGTCTTTGAGATAAGTTCATAAATGCCATGTGGATATGATATGTATGAGACAATCTGTAGCGTGTATGTGTGCAGGCGATGCTGCATGTGTGTGGTGCCTTGTGTAACTCCGCAGGATTGTGTCTGCGTGTGTGTCTGTGTGTGTGTCCGAGCGTCTGTGTGTGTGTCTGCGTGTGTGTCTGCGCATCTGCGTGTGTCTGCTTGTGGGGAGCAGTAGTGTAGTGGTTAGCGCGCTGCGCTGCGAACCCGGTGACCCGAGTTCGATCCCCCGCTCACGGCAACCACCGGTGACGATTGCCTGAACCGGTCCTGGGCCTCCACTAGGTTGACTCAGCCTCAAATGAGTACTTGGTGCGTTGTGTAAACATTCGCCACTGGGGAGACAAAGGCGGCTGGGCGCGGTGCTTGCCACCCACTCTCATGCGCGTACTGTTCCGGCCTTCATAGGCGCTACTCGCGAACAGCACTTGCCCGATAGGTCTGTTAACGCTATATGGGGGGTGGGGTGGTGCGCATCTTTGTGTTTGTGTGCGTGCCTTTAGGTGTTAGCGATGTGAGCGAGGGCCACTGCCATGCCGGGGATCGTGGTGTTTCGACGGCGTTGGTCGGTTGGAAGCGACGACCTCGTTCTTCCGGGGATCTTCCTCTTCCTCCTGCACGCCGTGTGGTAAACCCCCCCGCCGCCATTCGTCGAGCTCCGCACGCTGCGCGCTCTCAACGATCGACGTCAAACGTTCGGGCGCGCGGCGGTGCGCGCAAAAGCCGTCCCCGCGGCCACTTTAATTTCACGCAGATGTCATGAATCGTTCGGTAAGCAGAAATTGAAGCAAACAACCCCATCAAGGAGAACGGTGCGTGTTTTATCCTTGCAAACGATAACCATGACCCCCATTGTCAACGAGGCATAGCGATATGCCTGAAGAATGGGTATTTAACTAATTACAGATTTGCAGCTTGAATCGCAACCATCGGCGCGGGTGAAGGCAATGGAAGGTGAATGTTGTACAAAGAAGCGTAAAGAGTTGCTTCTCTGCTTGCTGATCTTGTCAAGGAGGATGAACCACCATCACGGGAACTCTGGACATCATCAGCAGCAGTGGCTTTGGCTAACCGTCGAAGAAAGGCGCTCACCGCATCGCGCGCTTTCAGATGCGCCTCCGCGGCCGTCTGGAACTGCTCTTCCTGCCGATATTAGGAAGCCACTGGGAGCTTATGGCACTTTTAAATCATCGTCTAGATTGACAAACTAATTTCTTTGGAACTGTGTGGCCAGGCCGCTTCTGAAAAAAAGATAAATATAGCTCAGTGGGCCTTACCCGGTACAATAAAAATTCGTGTAGTTTTTGTCTCAGTTGGGATGTGTTGACGCGCAAAACCCCCAAGATGTAGCGCTCTCATGCATATTGCGGTTCTCGGCACCGATACCGGACACTGGGGTGTTAAAAATACCTATTATATACATTTCAACTCGTAACGCGCCGCATGCGACTCGCTCGCTCCCGGCGAGAGAGGACGACTCGGAGGCGCCAGGAGGAACCACAGACGAGCGGGAAAGGCAGCAGCAGCAGCAGCAGTCAATTCCCCTCCCCCAAGCTCTGCGGTCCTCTACATACCGAGGTGTTGTCGGCCAATCAACGAGCGTTCATGTACGTGGGAGGAATCCGGAGCATTTGGAGAAAACCCACACGTTCGCGAGGGCGCAACGCTGTATCCCATACGGACAGGGGGAGATGACATTATTCCACACTTTCTGAACCGCCTTTCTCTTGGCGAGCCGGAGTGCGAGCACCTCCTCGACGCCCGCGGCAAGGGGTGCTTTGTACGTACGTGCGTTGGGCTTCTTTCGCACCGTACGTAGCCGACCGTGCTAATCGGAGGCGCCGGGGGGCGGGGGGGGCTGGGGCAGGGACAAATAACCAACCCTCGCCGCTTCCGCATTGCTGGATTACCAGGCCAAGTGCAACGTGTAGCCACCGACCACCGGAGCTTTCCGAAAAGGAAGTTGAAGGCGGTGGTTACGGATGGGTCCCCGTGCGCCTTTGTCACAGGTGTTGGTGTGCCGGTGGGAAGTGAGCGAGTGGAGCGAGTGGGGCGAGTGGGGCGAGTGAGGCTGTTTGTGTCTTGGGCTCGTGATGGGCGCATTGAATGGGGTTGTGAGGCTCAAGTCAAGAGACGTTTGCTGTTTGGCAGGCCGCCCACTCGGCGGCCTAGTAAGAGTGGAGTTCCACTGGGGCGTTCAAATTGTGTCGTGATAACGAGCGTTGGCTGTGTTGTTTGGCAGTCCGGGTGCGTCGTCACTTGAGGAAAGCAACTACGAAAATAATCCTCCCGGGCCCATTGAATGCAGGCGGTGGCACGTCAGGGCGCGGGGAAATTTCATGGAGGGATCGGGTTGGCGAACTTGCAGGTTTGGAAACGGAACATGGCCCGCGGTTTTAAACGTGCGGTTCGAGCGGTGAGCAATCGTTCACGGATCGTGAGGTGGCTTTCGTTACGAGGCCGTAGGATGTCCACCAATTTAGGGCTCTTAAACGAGACGGTGGGAGGCAGGGGGGGGGTGTAAATTGTCCACGGTTGTTGATCGGGCGGGCGGGGGGGGGGGGGGCGTTGTAAATTCTCGCGTGAAACATTGGCGGCGTTGCTTTGTTGAACCAGCTCAGGCCGCACCTCCCCGTCCGCCCTGCGACGGCGTCGGTGCTCTCATTGGTTCGCGATCGCTCCCAAGCCTCGCGAAAGGTGCTCCCGGCCCGGCAGTCAAGAAACCGCGTTTCTCTCCACAAAACGACGAGCGATCGCCTTCAGAGTGACACGCTCCCTACGCAATCGCTCAAGACGACTTCCCGGGGGGCGGGGGGGGGGAAAAAAGCGACCGCGACGTTGCGTCGCGGATGGTCGCGTCGAATCATTGCCCCCCCCCCCCCTCCGCCGCCGACCGCAACCGCCCCAACGGTCGGCCGCCATCGCCACCGCCGTCGGTGTCCGCCGGTCGCCACGGCAAGGGGAAAACGGCGCCCGCGTTACCTCCCTGCGTCACGCGCGTGCTGTCCTCCCCCCCCCCCCCCCCTCCCCCAGGCTCGTGGTGCTGTGCGTGGTGCTGTTCGGCGTCCACTTCGACGCGGGCAAGCTGTGCTCGCCCACGCTCGTCGACCATGGCAGAGGCTACCTGGGGATCCTGCTAGCGTGCACCGTCGCCGAGGCGGCCATGGTGTGGATGAGCATGCGGGGCAGCATACTGTACACGGAGCCGCGGAGATTCATGCAGCACATCATCTACATCCGACTGGGTACGAAGCGAACGCGGGGGCACACCGCGCGAGGAGCGGTCGACCCCCCGGCGTCGCTGTTCGTCGAAAAAGCTTCGTTTGTTATCTGTAAACAGCAACAAAAACAACAACATACATGAGGTCCCTGGGTTCAAATCGTGAGAGCCTCGGCGGCTGTGATTAAATCGGGTGTCTCAAGAGTGCGGTGAGTCGATGGCGTGAGCCCCGGTCGTCAATGACTTTCAGAGACCCATAGACTCGCACAGAGACTTGCACAGAGAGACCCATAGACTCGCACAGAGACTTGCCATAGAGACCTATAGACTCAAGCATAGACTTGCACAGAGATTTGCATAGAGACCCATAGACTCGCACAAAGACTTGCATAGAGACCCATAGACTCGCACAAAGACACTCATAGAGACCCATCAACTCGCACAGAGACTTGCCATAGAGACCTATAAACTCACAGAGAATTGCATAGAAACCCATAGACTCGCACAGATAATTGCATAGAGACCCATAGACTCGCACAGAGACTTGCATAGAGACCCATAAACTTGCATATGGCGAGTTGTGATTCAACCGGGGGTATCTCAAAGTGCCAGATATTTCAAGTTGACAATTACTGCAGAGACACCCATCACATAGGGATGTGTGCACATCACCGTGCCACCACTCCTCAGAGTTATATGAATTTGATACGATAACACAGACAGACAGATAAGGATATGATTGATTGCCGTTAAACAAAAAAAAACCTCATCATTTTTGACATTCAGGTGGCTCAACCACAAAAGGCTTCCCAGTGGAATGTTTTACAGCACGCTTTGTGCGAGCGGGTACATTTCTCGTCGGCAAGACGTCGCCTAATAAACGGATGCCGCTCGGAATGCTGGATGATATGGGTAATGGAGAACCTTCCACGAACTCTGTGGGGCCATGAAGGAACGTGGCAGCAAAATTGCTCCAAAATCATCGTGCGCTGTGGGCAAAGAACACTTAACGATTAAATGGAGAGTTGAGGATCACCGTAGTCGCCTAAAATAAACGAGGATGTTCGATCCTTCGGCGAAAATCCCTTCCGTTCCCAGCGCTCTCCCATCGGCGTTTGTTTGAGCCGGCAAAGCGACCGGGGGGCGCTGGCAAAATGTCGTAGCAACGCGCCGGCGGTAGCGACGACGACGCGTCAAGGGATGCCGTGTTAATAACGGAATGTTTACGTAAGCTTCTTAGATCTCCTGCATCGTAGATCATTTACGAAAGCCGCGTCTTTTAAAAAAGAACAAACAAAAAACCTCAAGTGTTAAAATAATACAATCGGCTGACTTTAAGGCACCGAAGCAGCAGTAACCTAATAAAAAAAAGACATGCCCCACCGAAGCAGGCAAAAACACTTCGGCGGGTGATTCGCACGCACAGGCACGCAACGGGGCTGTGACCCACGCCACCTCCCCACCACCGCCTCGCTTGGCGGCAGAGGGGAATTCAACGAGTGCCCCCCTCGGAGCCGGTCACGTGTCCACCGGAAGCATCGGCGCCGCTGCTACCACCGCACGGGCCGGGAGCAGCGACGGCGTTAGCTTTGCCTCTGTGCTGCCCCGGGGGGTGATTGTCCGCGGCAAGTTGTGGCTGCGGTGGTATCCGCTCGTGCCACACGGCAAGCGGCGCCTGGGTTCGAATCACGTGAACGTACTGGGACACTGGCAGCTGTCCATCCCGCATCGGATTTTGTGTTCCTGTCTAGCGGCATCTAGGCCCGTTTATCCTTGTTATAATCAGCACAGTAACGTAGGCGTGACATTTATGACTTCGTATTTCTAAAACATTTTTCGTCGTCATCATCATCATCATCATCAGGATCCTTGGGGCAGATAGCCCGTTGGTATCCACTGCACATTCTGTGCAGTGGACACCTGCGGGGCTGCCTGTCCACCGCACATGTCACGGAGCGGACGCCTACGCAGTGCCAAAATCTTTGAAGAAATACGGAGGCAATTGTATAGCTGCCTTTCAAACCATTCCTGCAATCTGGGGCCGGGGGCGGCAGCGGGGGGGGCGGGGTACCTCTTAATCTACTGGTAAAGATGGGAAAAAGACAACAAAAGGAGGGGGGTTTCCTTGTACAAATGCCTGCGGTCTTAGCTAAACGTGCCACTTCAAGATGCCCGCAGCGCCGCCGCGGCAGTCGTGCGTGGCAAAAGCCCCGGGAGGAGAGGAGAAAGTTTCAACGCGCGGCGGCCCAAAGGCCCACGACGACTACGCTCGGGGTGGTCGCTCCGCTCGAACTTTTTGCGCGTTCAAAATCCTCGCGAGGCTGGAGCTCGCCGCTCGTGGCCTTGTTTAGCGGCGTGGTTTTTTCGTCTCCCATGGTCGCGAGCGGGGTTCGTGTCCTCAAAATGTTTGTCCGCCCTTTGCCTACGGAGATAAAGGGTAAACATTCCCACCACCACACCCTCCCCCCCCCCCCGTGTAGCTTTTAACAAACAGTTGGGGCAAGTGTTGTTAGCGAGCACCTATGAAGGCCGGAACGGTACACGAGGGAGTGAGTGGCCAGGAGCTGAGTTTAAACAGACAGGGCCCAATCTGTGTTGCCAAATCAGTCTTCATATGTTGCAGACATTGGCATTCATATCGTCTTTCGTTCTTTCCTTGCTTCTTTCGTACGCCATTTTAAAAGCAACTTACAAAACATGGGGCTGTGCACTTTTAAATCTAGATTGAAAGTAATTTCTTTCCCACCGCACCTCCGATTACCACTGTTGGCTACGTACGGTGCGAAAGAAGTTCAAGATACTGCTGTACATTTCCTCATGATGAGCCACTTCATTGAGCTATCATTCGTGATAGCCAGGTCGCTTCTGAAAAAGAGCTACATGGCTCAGTGGGGCTTACCTGGTCAAATAAAAATCTTTTCATAGTTTAAATAGTTCATTTTATTTGATGCATAGCCTCCGTGCCTCCTGTGCGAGCGTGTACTGGGCAGGGGTCGGTCACGTGGTGCACAGATTCACTTCGCCACAACAGGGCAGTTCTTGTCATTGATCTAAAGCGATCCTCTCCAACATGGTCTCTTCGCTGTCAGTCTGACCTCACAACGCCATGACCAAAGCGGGCGACCGGACTGGCGAGTATTCATTAATGTCATTATCAACACCTCGTTGGGCAGAACTACGTCGTGGACAATTTGAATCACAATTTAAATTAATGCAAAAAGATGAAATTGAACACAAATTGCGAACCGTAAATGTCCCAAGCGCGAGGCCGTTATTTCCCCAGAGATGAAATTAGCATCCAAATATTCTCTTCCTCGTGGAGTAAATTTCCAGGCCCTGCACGTCGGGTCCCTGCGTTGTGGACCGGCGGTGCCACGGCGGCGTTGCCGGCTCGCTGCACGCGGCGCCCGTTAAACTCGGCCGCCTGAGTTCAATTCCCGGCCACGGCTAACGTCACGGATGAGCGAGATTTGAGCCGATCACGGGCTCGTCGGTTTACCGCTCCCCCTCACCCCCCCATCCCCCCAATTCACACTGACCACCGTGATGAAGTATGGTCAGACGGATCCCAATAGCCGGCACGACGGTGGGCGAACTTCGTCCAGCAGTGGCTTTGGCAAAGGGCTGTAAAACAATGACAGGGTGAGGATGGGGTTCCGTATAAACTAAACTATTTTTTACTTTACCACTTCAAGGCCCACTGGGCTACGTAGCTCTTTTTCAGAAGCGACCTGGCCACAAATGATAGCTCAACGAAGTGGGCTTATCATCACGTGGAAATTTATAGCAGCCAAATATACGTGGACGGAAAAACTGGAGGACCCGGATAAAAATCCACTCGGCCACAGGGAGAGAGAGAGAGAGAGACATGCAAACTCCAAATATACAGGCATCAAGGGTCAGGATTAAGCCCAGCGATCTCTTGTAAACAAGGCGAGGCAGTTAACATCTCGCCACCGTGATGATGAGCGTGAAAGGAAGAAGGGGGAGTCGAGCGGAGATCATAGGAATAGACCCGAGAGGCCAAGCTGCGTCTACCGTGGTGTCCCTGGCTCGTCCGCACTGCGTTACGCACGCACGTTGAACTTACTTCGCACCGTACGTAGCCAACCGTGCTGATCGGAGGTGCGGAGGAAGGATGACGAACTAAAACACAAAAAGCACTTCCAAAGAAATTAGTTTTCAACCTCGATGTAAATTACACGATCTAACCCCCCAAAAAAAACCCCTTTATTATGAATAATACTGTTCGCGAAAGCCTGCGTGCTAAACTCGATTTAAAAGCGCGTAGCTCCAGTGGCTTCCGAATAGTAGCACAAGAATGCACGTGTGTGACTCATTGTTGTGCTGCGGAAAGTACGAGTCGCACCGTGCATGGGAATTTTTCGCGGTCGTCGATCAAGCTTTTGTCTTTCTCCCCGTCGCCGGCATTACCTTGGCGTCGCAAGAAATCTTGCGGATAGCGGCACAGGCGACACGATTAATAAATAACGGTGGGATGACGTAACGCGCGACGCCTTTCGTTGTCATTTTTCGACGTGCGCGCGGCCAAAATGTGACCCCGTGGACGAATGGCAACGTGGCATTTAATTTGTGAAAGCGTTACGTGCGGAGATGTGTTTTATTTACACGCTGGCTCTGAATTTATTCTCGTCTGCCCCCGCCCCGCCCCGCCCCGCCGCGCCCCTCCCCCCCCCCCCAACCTCTTAATTTACGCTCGCAATTCTACGCTCCCGTGGGATTGGCTTCCTTGCCGCCCTGCGTCGTGATTTAACGCGCGGTGAACGAGTTGTTGGGCGCGCGACTTCGGCGTCGTCCCGACTCCGCCGCGGTTCCGGGGCGAACGTTGCTTGACCTCGTTTCTCCTAGATACAAATTGGGTGGGGGGGGAGGGGAGGGGGGCGGTGGGAGGGAAGGGATAAGAGCGGGGGTCCGTGGTGGGAGTATCCGAGATTGAACTTGGTGTCTGATCTGTCACGCACTCCCGTCTGCAAATCCACGGGGATCTGCAGATTACAGGGAGGAGAATCGTAGCAGTCCCCCCCCCCCCCACCCACCGCTTTCTCTGACCCTGCAGAGAAGAAATGATTTTGGGTGAGTGGGTGGATGATGGATAAAAGGATCTAAAGGTTTTATTTTAAATATCATATCACCACTCCCCCCCCCCACCTCCCCCCCCCCCACCCCCCCGACTTTACGAATTTGCTGTGTCGGCTGGTGCTGGTGGGTTTAGCGACACGTTTTTATTTACACGATCTTACACCCCCCCCCCCCCCAAAAGAAACCCTTGATTGTGATAAATATTGGTCGCAAAAGCCAACTCTACGTGTTGAAACCCGCTTGCCATGTTTGTATAACTTGGCCCTCATTACGGGTACCACGTTCGTTTCGGAGGCCGGTCCATATGTTCCAATGCGGCCGTGTTTTTTTTTTCTTTTCTAGCCCCCCCCCCCCCCGTTGTCCCTCCTCGCACGGACGCGTCGGTCGGCCGGCCGGCCGACGTGGGGACGGGCGAAGGAGCTCGGCCCCCGGCCCTTTGACGTCTGATTTCCGTCCCGCCCGCCCGCCCGCCTGCCCGTTTTCGTTTCAGCAATTCTCGTTGTGGAATTTGTCTACTCCATCGTCGGCGTGGTGTGGATACTCACGTACTACTTTTCCTGCGACGACACCGTGGCACGCAGCGTCACCGCCGGTGAGTGAATCGGAATATTTATTGTTTTCATGATAAAAGGTGTTTTGGGTGAAATCGCGTAAGTATAATAAACGTGTCGTAACCCTCCACCACCCGACACGGCCAATTAGTAAGGGATTTGTCGCGGAAATCATCAGCGAAACGTCGTACTACTCAAATTGTAAGCGTTGTGGATTTACTCTCCAACACACCGGTGGGCTGAAGTAGTAACTCATTGGCCTTTTGTTTACGTGACAAACCCCTTACTAATTGGCCGTGTCGGGTGGTGGAGGGTTACGCCACATTTATACTTGGGCGATCGAACCCAAAACACCTTTTATTATGAATAATATTGGTCGCGAAAGTGTCCTACGTGTTCATCAGATTTATTGTTTACTTGGAGGAATTCGATGAGCTATGAAGGGTCTTTTTTCACATCTGTCCAGTCGGGGAACGGGATCAGAACGTTACAACAACAAACGGTACGAAAACACGATAGGAGTGCAAAGTACAAGGAGTGTGTGGGGAGGGGTCACTTATTTCTTTAGTTCGCTTGCCCATCGATTTAAAGGTGTGCGCATTTATTTTACGTCGTTATCAATATCAACCGTTATTACAGATTCTGCTGACTGAGAGCGCATTCATATTTCCCGTGTCAGAATCAGAATATGTATTGTATACTGGAGGAATCCGATGAGCTATAAAGCTCTCTTTCACAGGGGTAGGATTAAGCGGGATGCTCATGGTGGGGGGGGAGACAGGGGTAGGATGAAGCCAGCCGATCAGAGTCATTGCTCCCGGCGGGGGTGAGAGGAGTGGACCGTGCCATCGCGAGCTGTAAGGGTTGCTGACCCCTTGCCCATACCGGACATCTGTTGAAACAGAGCTCCATGGCTCATCGGATGCCTCCAGCAGACTAAATAAAGATTCCGACCCTGAAAGATTCCGAGGGGTTGTCGTCGGTCACAAGATGTTCAAGTGTACACCACGTGGGCAGGAAGTGGATGATATATTATTTCGCTGCAGCGGTTGAGGCTTAAGCGCCAATGCTAACGAACACCTTCACAGGAATGCTCAGTGGGAGGATAATGTACGATGAAAGTGCCCCGACAGCCCCACCTCCTTCACCTGTGTCATATTACTCTGATCGTCCCCTCCTCCACGTGCGCGAATGCTCCAGAAACCTTGCGTCAGATCTCCTTAGTCAAACTCTGCTGAATGGGAGATCGCTCCTTCTCTGATGCTGCTGCTGCCTGCCTCTGTCTAGAAACCTCCCTCTTCCCTTCGCTGTTTGACTCTCCAACGTCGCTCCCACCCCCCCCCCACCTCCCTTCCGCCATTCAAGCCCTGACACGAGACCCGACGATGTATTTTCCACACAGCAATCTCCGTCTCTCTGTCTCTCTCCCGCTACGGAGTCTCCCCCCCACCACCCCCCCCTCCCCCCACCACCCCGACCTTCACCCTCTTCTTCTCGTCTACCAAAAATAACCTCGGGCAAAAAAAACCGAACCGCACCGATGCCCTCTCGGCGTCCCGCGAAAATTCGTGTCGTGCCCCAGCGCGCGCCTCGTCGCCGCCGCCGCCCCTTTGCAGGGCTTGTCGGGACCCGGCAGCGTGTTCAGGCGCTCGCTTCGTCGTCGCGTGCAGCGTCGGACCCGTCCACGCTCGGGGGGGGGGCAGGGGGGAGGGGGGGGGTTGTTCGTCTCTCGGGTCCACTCCGTGCGACCGTCTTCTCGGCCCGCCGTCTAAACCGCGAACTGGGCCCGGCCGAGTGCCGTGGCTTGTCGCTGGGGGCCCTGCCCGTTGGGGCACCGCCCGAGTTTCACTCTCATTAGCGGGGGGTTCATCGCTGATGTTGTGGTTCCCCCCCTCCCCCCCCTCCCCCACATAACAGCTTTACTACTCCCCTCCCCCCCCATCCTCGCCCACCCCCAGTTTTAATAAAAGCTGGAGACAGGCTTGATGTGCGGATATGCACCCAGCCCGGCACGGGCATAGCGATGACGTTACCAAGCGTATGAAATGCTGCTCGTCAGGGTTTGCTGCATGTAAATGAAGGCGCGCCGGTGTTATGTAACTGCTGTGTATTGTGGCATCACAAAAACAAACGTGACTTGTGGTCCTTTTGAAATGAGTTGTGTTTCATACCGAGTGTGTCCCTTAATCGTCCATACAGTGTTAAAATTGGCCTGGTTGTTAGATTACAGTTTTGCCCTCATCCTTGGCATCTCGCCTCAAAGGGCAACCACGGTGGCTAAGAGATGTTAACTACCTCGCCTGGTATACAGGGAGTCGTGGGCTCGATCCCGACCCTGACGCCTGCTGCTGTATATTTGGAGATTGCATGTTCTCCCCGTGGTCGCTTGGATTCTTCTCCGGGTCCTCCGGTTTTTCCCTCAACATTCAGAATCAACGTCACGCGTTTAGAGCACTTGACCGCTACAAATGTCCGCGTGATGAGCCACTATGTTGAGCTATCATTTGTGGCTAGATCGCTTCTGAAAAAGAGCTGCATAGCTCAGTGGGCCTTACCTGGTAAAATAAAAATAGTAAAAATTTGTATTAATCGAGTGAACATAATCACTCTGCGTGTGCCCAGTATCATCAGATGGTGAAGTCTAAGCAGGTATGAGCCTGGCTAGTACTCAGGATGGGAGGCTCCTCTGTAGTACCACGTGCAGTAGGCGTGGGCTGCAAGGTGGCTACGAGATTGCAGTTAAAGGGCTGGATTATTGAATCTATCTGTACGGAGCTTTTGAGTCTTACCCCCCTTCATGCGTGAGTTTTATTTCAGGTGTTTCCAGTTTCCTACCACGTGCCGAATATTTATTATGCACGATTTGAGTGCATTGGCACGAGACTGAGGAAAGTGGAAATAAAGTAATGATATGTGCAGTGGATACATCCGGGCTATTTGCACCACGGATCGTGATGATGATGTTGATTGGCCAAACATCCCAAATTAGCATGTCCTTCCTGAGGCTTGAGACTCGGTGAGGCTGGCCTGCGTAAATAAAGGCCACGTCACCTTTTTAAAAATAAGGTAATACCTCAGTGGGCTTTGCCTGGTATGATGGGGATGGTTTAGTGTTTTATTTGGATGTGTTTGGGCTATTGTTTACCTTTCTTGTACTTTGCACTCCTATCGTGTTTTTGTACTGTGTGTTGTCGCAACGTTTTTACCCCTGTGTGCCCCTTCTGGACATCTGTGAAAAAAAAGAATTATAGCTTATCGGACGACCCCAGTATTCTGATTTCGCGGCCTTGTCCAGGTTTTTAAAGTTCTGGCCTTGGCGGGTCACTTCAGGATTCCAGAGCTTTGCCTGTTGAGTACTGGCTTGGGCATTTGCCTACGGACATGTTGGCCTTGTGTCCGATGACTGCACGATGAACCGCAAATGTGGCATAAGTATTATAAGTAGATTTTGGTACTGGCAAAGGAGGTCCCATGATGTAGTTGCTCACCCCGAGCTCTCATTACTCTGATCGTGCGTTGTCTTTGTGCTGTGTGACGCCTTTTGGCGTCCTCTGGTCTAACATCGTTTGAGACGAGGCTCAAATGAAAGCTGTCTCTGGTGTGGACCAATCAGTTGCAAGGACAATGCATATATTATCAGAGTAATGTTTTTTGTTTGCATTCTGACCACAAGTATATGTGGTTAATGCAGACATGATTCCTTGTAAAATGGTTTCAGTTTGGTGTTTTAACATCTCAACACAACTGTTTTGTTGCCAGAAAAAATGGGAAAACCTATTCTCTTATAAGCAGATGCCCAACGATTTTTATTTACAGTTCATTTCAAAGGGGTGGTGTTGGTGGTGTAAATGTAGCGCCGGTGAGAAAATCAAATAGAATGCTGCCGATCTCATTAGGTCTCTGAAACCTAAGCGGGTTTGAGCCTGGGCAGTGTTTGGATGGGTGACCGGCTTCCGCGCATAGAGTAGCTGCTGTCGGCTGCCACAGCAGAGTCACGTTGTCAGCAGAAGGCAGTGTGGCGAAAGCCCCATTGTTGGCGCTGTACTTTGATTCGGTGCCTATGCTCCCCACATTCATGAACTTGCACTGATCGACACGGCGTACTAAACCGTCAGTGGGCCAAGTTGCCACGCTTGCACGCGCGACGGGGAGAGTGTGCGGCAGCGGGTAGAGAGCGTGACCGCGATCGGAAGACCCGCACGGCACGCGTAGTCGGTGGATTGACCAGAAAGGGCTGAATTGTATTTTTTTTATTCTATCGGTAAAGTCACTTAGAAGGGAAACAATAAAAATGATGATGATTGCTTGTGTTGCAGTCGAAACTTCGTGAGAATTTTATTGTTTTATATTTTTATTATTTTATTGTTTCCCTTCTACGTGACTTTATCGAAAGAACCAATAATATGAATCCCTGCAGTCACGAAAGCTTTAAATAAAAAATGTATTTTTTGAGTGAAGCTGAACCCACGCCATTTGGGTTCGCACGCGACACTCCCACCCCCCCCCCCCCCCCCGCTTGCCGTCTGCGTCCCTTCTTTTGGCAGGGATCGTGACGTGCAACTGGTTTGTGATCATCGGAGTGTGCATCACGCTGACCTGCGTCTTCGACAGCACCGGCAGGACTTTCGTCAAGCTGCAGGCCAGGAAGAGCCGGCAGCGGTCTCTCACGACCTTTAACCTCCGGTGAGAATGTTGATTCACCCCTCTGGGCCAGGATGGCGGTGTTGCGTGGGGTTTTTGGATCTATCTCTCCAGCCGTTTTAACAGCGCTCTGCGAGTCCAGCTGTTTTAGCAGCGACTGATTTGTTGATCGCGGTCGAGAAGAAGGCATGGGCCGATGCTGTCACGACACGCTTCCTTCATCTGCACTTCCATTGTGAGGTAGATGGGCGCAGTGGTGAGTGCTGCGTTATCCAACGCTGTGGTGTCAGACGATTGGTGGATCACGCAGCTTTGCGAAACTGCAAGGTGGTCACGAAGATAGGCAGCATAGCAAATGGGTTATATAATCCCTCTGTGTGTACCTTTTGACCAGTTTCACAATCGATGACACGCCACGGTGTGATGGTGGCCCCGGTGAAACGCGTGAGTGCCATCATCTCAAGGGATTATCTGGGTGAAATATTTCAGTGAACGAATAATGATTACTATTTTCAAGGCTGCGAGTGGCACGAGCTGGCAATTTCAGGGGCTGCACCTTTCCCCTTTTTTACGGCACCTAAGCTTGGAATGACGTTGAAATCCCGCTTTTTATTTTCATTCGACTAGCTCAATGTTTTCCGTAATCCTGGTCGTCTCCACGGACAAGCAAACGTCCGATTTATTTTATGCATGAAACCCCTGAAGGCGCAGGCACTGAAACTACCGCCCCCACCCTCCCGCGCTTCCTGGCGACGGTGTCGCAGCACGCGCGATGCGTGTGCGTGACCTCACGCGCCGTCTCCACTCGGCAAGCAAAAGGGAAACAGGCGAAAGACTCCACGCGATCCAAAATGCCACCGCTAGATTTCTCGCCCACCCATAAAGACAAAGGTCGCCCGTATAGCCTGAACAGACTGTTGGGGCAAGTGCTATTCGCGGGTAGCAGCGCCTATGATGGCCGGCACGGCACGCGAGGGGGGACCGCCTTTGTCTCCCGAGTGGCGATGTTTACACATTGCACGAGGTACATATTTGAGGCTCAGTCGACCTAGGGGAGGCCCAGGACCGGTTCAGATAATCGTCACTGGTGTTAGCCGTGAGCTACCGCTCACCTCACAATGCTGCTGCCAGGCTTCTCACTCACCCACACACACAAATGAGTTCACGTTACCCCAATATTCCAATCCCTCCGCCGGCTCCCAATCCATTCCCATATCATTTTCAAGATCACACTCACCGTGATCAAAATCTCCCTCTCTCCCTTGCATGCATGTATGTATGCATGCTGAACTTCTCTCGCATTGTACGTATCCAACCGTGCTAATTGGAGGTCCATGCAGTGTGCACTCCAGTAACCACGGCTTTCCGTAAAGGCCCCCTAGTCAACCTTCGCGCGCTTGGAGGGCGCTCGCTCATTTTCCTCTCCTGGCCCGTCGTCGTGAACTCCCTTCCACCCCCAGCCTTGCGTGCTGTCCAAGTCCAGGCTTAAGATAATTTTTTTCTTCTGCCTACGACCGACTGCCTCTCTCTCTCTCTGTAAAATAAACATGGCCCGCGGCTTGCCGAGGAAACGTCCTGAAGGTGCGGTTGCATTCGGACGTCGTAGAAATCCAATTGTTATTGTGAGGCTGCCATAAGATTGCATCTCTCGTGGCAGCGTTTGCCCGAGCGCCGGAGCTTGCCCGCCTAATTCTTCCAGTGATCTCTCTGCTTGATGTAAAGACGAGCGCGCTAAGATGGTCCCGATCGTTTCCCGAGTGGGAAGGAATTCCGGGGGATTTTCATGTGCGGCATCTCCGCGAAGACGGTCACCGCATCGTCAACGCGCGGCGCTTTCAGATTGCGCTCCTGCGGCTGTCTGGAACGCTCTTTCTTCTGATACTAGGAAGCCAAGTTACTAAATGCAGATAGACGATTCCCGCAATATAAAAAAATCAATGTTTTCATACATTTTTGCTAACAACGCATGCCCAAGTGTCAAGTTAGTCAATTTTTTTTCCCCTCTACTAATTTATTCCAGTTTAACACGTAGGCTTTCGCGACCAATATCATCCATGATAAATGTGTATTTTGGGTTAGATCACGCACATATAAATATGTTGCTCTCCAACATATGTGCTGTACTAGTAACGAATTGGCACGTTCTGTTTACTTGACAAACCTTACTGATTGGCCGTGTCGGGTGGTGGCGGATTTAACGACACATTTATATATTTACGCGATTTAACCCAAAAAAAACCTTTATTATGGAAGCCACTGGAGTGTTTAGTTTGTTGTCCTTCCCCCCCCCGCACCTCTGATTATCACGGTCGGCCGCGTGGCGGTGCGAGAGAAGTTCAACATACATACATTCAACACTATGATATCATGCATTTGATATAACTCACGATAGGAAGACATGAAAATCCATGTTCAACTTTCGATATTTGGGTAAAATCCGTTGATGAAATATGCAAATGTGAGATGTGTGAATACCCTGCCCATAACATGAACCACATGCAACAAAAGTGTTACACTTTAACCTCAACGTAACTTTTTTTGTTATATCTTCTGGCAGACCGAAACACTAAACTAATTAAACTAACCAATTTTTTTTTATTTTTCCAGGTAAAGCCCCACTGAGCTATGTAGCTCTTTTTCAGCAGCGACCTGGCCACAAAATGATAGCTCAACGAAAGTGGCCTTATCATCATCGTCGTGTGTACATTTATAGCAGCAGCCAAATAATCTAAATGCCTGATGTTCATTCTAAATGCGGAGGGAAAAACCGGAGGACCCGGAGAAAAATCCCTCTGTGCCCGGCGAGTTAGTTAACATCTTTCGGCACCATGGCACAGAGGAAGAGCCTGAGAGGGTGACGCTCGATGGACGAGAGAGCGAGAGAGTGGGAACGGTGCGTGTAACCGCACGCTCGGCTTGGCGCGTGCTCGTGGCGTGCAGGCATCGGATGGAGGAGGGCCTCACAAACAACTGGGCACAGAGGCTCAAGCTGTTCATGTGCTGCGCCAGAACCAAGGACACGCAGACCGTAAGTACTCCGCGGGTCACCTGCCGCGGCCTCACCTCGCTTCGCGATTACGAGCTCAGTCGACCTTACGTTCAACAGTGGTTTGCTTGCATCATCCCGAGGGTTCTCTGCTCTGACACTGGTGAGACTAGGCCGTAAAGCAGACTGTGTTCAGGTAATTTGCCAATCGGTTTCAAAAGCGATGCATATATTAGCAGTTTGTGATTGTTCACCAGAAGTACTCTGTGTGGTTAATGCAGAGTTTGATTCCTTGCAAAAAGGTTTCTGTTTGGTGTTTGAACATTTTAACACCTGTTTTATTGCCAGACAGGGCAAAACCTCTTCTTAATTTTTCAGTGTTTGCGCATTCTATAACAGCGCGTTTTTAAGTTGAAAGACAAACACAGGATAAGCGGCGGTGCTGTGAGAAACGGCCCGTGAATCCTGCAGGGCTGGGGATGTGTTATGATTATTACATCTACTACTATTATTACTACTACTACTCTTGCTTTACCCAGCAATGCCTCGCCGAGTCTCATGAAATATTTTTTAAAGAACGGTCCTCCCGCCAAATTGTTTGTAGTTGGGGGGGGGGGTGCGATGATTGTATAATCCCGATCGAGTAATTTATGTATATTCCTGGTTCTTTTGGTAAAGTCACGTGGAAGGGAAACGATAAAATAATACAAATATAAACCAATGAAATTCTCACGACGTTTCGACTGCAACACAAGCAATCATCATCAGATGTGAAAGCCACAGCAAGAAAAAAAACCCGCCACTTTTTTCAAATTGTTCTTGCTGTGGTTTTCACACCTGATGATGATTGCTTGTGTTGCAGTCGAAACGTCGTGAGGATTTTATTGTTTTATATTTTTATCATTTTGTTTCCCTTCTACGTGACTTTACCGAAAGAACCAAGAATATGAATTCCTGCAGTCACGAAAGCTTTAAATAAAAATTTAATTTATGGATGTTTGACAAGGCACGTGGTGATGCATCAATTAATATTATACACGCTTCGAATTGTGCATGCAAGAACCGTTGATTTATATTTTTTTAAATATACGTTGCACGTAATTGCTTGACATGCGCTCTGCAGACATTCTCCCCTAGTTATATGTAACCTAATAAAAAATAAAAAGGTTACATCCACTGTACTACAAGCGATGAGATCAGCTCGTGCGCAGGTGCTAAGAAGGATTGTTACATCGCGGAGGGCAGAGGAGCGACGCTCGCAACAACGAGCGAAGCGCCGGGTGGCTAAAACAACTGCAAGTTGGCACAGTAGGGGGCACAGGTGGTGCAAGCATCCGCCGGTCATATCTGTCAGTCAACCCATGGCACCAACTGGGTCTGTTCCGTGACCTTCTGCCACGTCACGTGGCCTTAAAGCGCACACAGCCATGGTGATGTCACCGCCAGTTAGTGGCGAATGGCGGTGGTTGTTGTTACATCTCAGGATGTGGAAACTGGTGGCTCCTTGGGGAGGGAGGTGGGGGGGGTGATGGGGGGGTTTAATCCAGCAGTGGATCGATTGTGTCTGATGATGATGATGATGAAGGACAGTCGAAAGCCCTGGGAACAGTATGAATAATTTGCACCTGAAAGATATGGGGAGTGGGGATGATGTAGATTTGATCATTCGTACATCAGATGGGGTGCTGCAGGTTTCATCAGTTGATCCTTATGGCTGTACCCCGGGGAAATTAAATATTTTATATCTGGGACACTATTTTTTTCCAGGGGTGTACTTCACTCCACGACTGGGATAGCCAATCAATCTGAAATCGGTGCCACACTCCGCGATGTCGAAACACCCAAACATGAGCATAAAAACTGAACGCTTTCGTGACTACAGGAATTCATATTCTTTGGGTCTTTCGGTAAAGTCACGGTCTTTGAACCTATCTATGTGACTTTACCGAAAGACCCAAAGAATATTAGCGTATCGAAAAATTCAGCTCTGAATAGTGCATCGTGTACAGCTCGTCGAGATGAGTCGATTGCCGCATCGCCGACCATCAACAGACTAAAAATGACCGCATCACGGACGTTGTGCGAGAGCCGGGGCACTATGGAACCCCGGGGTACCGCCATGAGGTTCAGTTGTTACTCCTGAATCTCTGCAAAGATGTAATTTAATTCACTAAACGTGCGGGAATAGGGCTTTCGCTCTGACCGGGATTAGTGCACGAATATTTGATATGGTCGGGGGTCATTGTCGCAGCAAGGGTCAGACACGGTGAGCGTGTCAAAGCTCGTTCTGATCAGCAGCCCCCGCTGTCCATCAGCGAGGTGTCGCGACTCTCCGCTCCCACGCGGCCGGCACGTGACGCGTTCCCCCACGGCCCTGACCCAGGACGCCTACTCCGAGGTGGCCGTGCTGATGGCCGAGTTTTTCCGGGACTTGGACATCGTTCCGTCGGACATCATCGCCGGCCTGGTGCTCATGCGGCAGCAGCAAAGGGCTCGGAGGAATGCGGTGCTGGACGAGGTGAGTGTGGGCTCCCATTCACTATTCATACGGACTGTACCACTGGCACATCCGAGCTGAGCCGGCGCGGGGTCTCCGCAGTGTGGGTAGGTTTTTTTTTCCCACTGGCAATTTACCGTGTCCAGCCGGACACCAAACCGTTATTACGCTTGGCCTCGCGAGACATTGGAATCTGACTTCTGGTTCCAGGGGCAGAGCTTGTAAATTTCGTCATACATTGTACGTATGTTGAACTTCTTTCGCACCGTGCGTAGCCAACCGTGCTAATCGGAGGTGTGTGGGGGGGGGGAATGACAACAAACTTAACCACAGAAAGCGGCTCTCTAAAAGAAATTAGTTTGTCAATCTGGATGATTTAAAAAGTGCATAGCTGCAGCAGTCTCTTCCTAATATCGGAACGAAAGAGCGTTCCGGACGGCCCGCACAAGTGCGCCCGAAAGCGTTGCGTTGACACGAGACCCGACTCGCTCACGGTGCACGACAACGAGTGGCACGGCTCGGGTTCGGCAGTGGAAAAACAAAGCGGGCATTCTCCTGGGCCACGTCTCGCTGGCTCAGTGCAGCGCCGCCGCCGTTTGTTCTTACAGTGGATGATGTTATTGATTTTCACCTGGGTGTGTTTTTTTTTCTCTCTTCCATATTTCTAATCTTGTATTTGTCCTTCGCGTTAGAAGGGTGTGATATGTTCTCAGCTGGCTTGTTTTGTGGCATTTGGTCGTATTTCATGATCAATCCTCTAAGTGGGGTGGGTTCCCCTGAATTGGTTGGGCTAATGCCATTATGATTATTATTATGTCTGAATAAAATCAACTTGGGGAATTTGTTTTTTTTTCTAAATAAACCAATACACAGGCAATTATCCTCCCAGCTGAAGAGTGTGACCGTCTGGAAGATCAGTTTTTGTGTTCTATCGGGTACGAGCCAAATAAGTCTCCTTGACAAGGGAGACTTCAGATTAAATGTTAGAAGTGACACAATATGGGAGGGATAAAAAAAAACGAATGTAAAATATTTTAAGTGCAAACAACGAATTTTAGAAAACCGGGGGAAACAAAATTGGAAAGGGAATCCAAACTCCAGGAGTCTTCCCAATATCAAATCTCTGTGCAAGGAGTGGGCACACCTCGATTCTCAAGCTTACGTTTATACACTCATTGAATCGCGTTTGTAAGAATCGCGTTTTTTGTGTGTGTACAATTCATGTAATGTGTCTACGTGACCTCTGCAGCAACACACTCTTGGCCATCGCTGAAATTGAAAACAAATAAAATAAAAACGTGTTCTTGAATCGGATCACGATCGTAAATCGCGTCAAGTCATAAAATCGGCAAATTAATAGATAAAGTTTGCATCTTCTTAGTTATTTCGGTAAAGTCACGTTGAAGGGAAACAACAAAATAATAAAATATATATAAAACAATAAAAATTCTCACGACGTTTCGACCATAACACAAACGGTCGTCTTCAGGTGAGAATTTTTTTATTGTTTTATATATTTTATTATTTTGTTGTTTCCCTTCAACGTGACTTTACCGAAAGAACTAAGAATATGAATTACTGCAGTCACGAAAGCTTTAAATCAAAATTTTAAGTTTGCATCGTTTATATTTGTTTGTATGCTGAACGTCTTTCGCGCCGTACGTAGCCAAGTGTGTTGATCGGCTTAGGTTTGGCCACGTAACAATCTGACCAAATTTGTGACCTTTTAAAGCCCTCCTCCACAATACACAGCCAACCAAACAAATGTAATTCTAATGTGCACAAGCGTTTAAAAAAAGCGCAAACATTTTGGTTGTTTCCGCTCATCCATAACGGTGAGTTGAAGAACGATCCTCACAACCAAATCTCGCGATAAGACCAGACGCTTTGTTTGAAACTGCGTCATATGTCAGCGGGACAAGCTCCGGACCGTCAAGAGTCCGCAGTCCAGAGTAACGTTGGTGCACGGTGCTTTTTTTTCAGGAATATTTTTGCTGTTTTTTTTTTCCATGGATTTTCTGTTTGCACAGTCACATAGTCACTTTAAGAAGTTGTTCGTGTTTTTGTTTTTTTGTTTGTTGTGGTTTGCACCCGATTCAAGAGCCGGATGGCTCACAGGGCTATATCAAAATAAACTGAACTGAACAGGGCAGAATGCGTTTGAGTATTGGGCTTCTAAACCGTTAGCGGAGCAGGTTACAAAGTGTGTGTGGTGCGATATGGCGTGGAGTTGGCACGGAAGTGTGGGGGAGAGCAATGCCCTATAATGATGTCTAACCATCGCTGCTGTCTCTTGCTCCTTGTGTTGTTGATCTATAGGCAAACAATGACATTCTGGCCTTCTTGTCTGGAATTCCCATCGCACGGAAGACCGAGTATCTGGACCTCAAGAATTCTGTAAGCAGCGCACTCCATTTAATTAATTTTCAATCGGTCACTTGCCGCACGTTTAAACGAGATGAGAGCCCAATCGATATTTTTGTTTGTAAGATGCACCGAGGAGAACCGTTCGTTGGCTTAATCGTTTCAAAAATACTGATTACAACCCTTTTGTCAATCCCACTGCTGCTTTAACAAACTGCAAGTCCGTGTCGGTCATGGTGGTTGATTGAGCATACTTCACCGTTCTGGTGAATGCTGGTTGGTGAAGATGGCGTGCGAAAGACCAGTTCAGACACCACTTGCCACCGATGTTAGCCGTTGCCGGGAATCAATCTCAAGTCGCCGGGTCCATAACACAGTGCGTTGACCGTTGCACCACCACTCGGTTACAAATCATTGTCCCCCGACCGGCAGACTAATGTCCGCTTGCAGGCCAAGTGCTGAGTCGCCTTGGGCCACACAGGGACAGCTGCCACTGGGGGGAGGGGCTCACCATATGTGTCGAGATTTAGTTGTGTGACGCAAGTCGCTTATCGCGTCCAAAGCGCTCTCCGAGACGCTCCGGTTTCAAAGAGCATGCCATCAATAACAGTAACATTATCATTGTCATCGTTATAATGGGAAAAAGTTATACAAACTGGTGAATGTTTTTTTTTCTTTCTGGCTTCTGAGTCCAGCGCCCGCTGACCTGCGGTAGTGACGATGTGTCGTGATCACTCGGCAACTGGGCTGCACTGCATTGATCCCCCATCGACTTGCATCAGACTTGGCAGGCTCTGCATATTTTTTTTTTATATTTCATGCATTGAGATCACTTTAGCCACTCGGGTCGCCTTCCTATCTGCGATGCAATATTTCCGTTTGTATTGAACATGCAAGCCCATCATGACAATAACAAAGAACTGCCTCCGTAGCCCGGCTGTAAGATGTGCTGGCATCATGCTCTATAGCATCCGAACGGTGAAGTAATCCAGAATAATAGTAGCAGTGGTAGTGGCAAATCCGTGCGCACCGTACAGCCCTCTCATCAATCCAGTGCCGGATGAGGGCCTCTATCACGCTGTGCGGGGCCATGCTGGTCACTTGCCGGAACTTCAACCCTGGTCAGTGTGCGGGTTGGTGCATGCGCGGGTAAAACGTCGCGTTAAAGTGCTGCACAACAACGGACGTTGCTGCGCCGCCCGTCCCGCCTTGCCCGCCTGTCCTCCAGTTGGTCACCTATCCCCACAAGCCCCGTGGCAACCCGCAAGCCCCGTGTGGGGTGCCCCCATCCGAGCCTCGGTCTATGCTCAACCCCAGCTTAGAATTTGGAGGTCTTGGACGAAGACCGGTCACATTCCGGGTGACCTGACAATGGTTTGTTTAACTGTCTGGAAAAAAAAAAGCTTTGCCGCAGCACGATGTAGTATTTGTTTTGTCAAGACATTTCTTGAAGCGGCGTTTTTGTTTTGTGCGAGGGGGGGGTTCGCACGCTGTGACGTCTCTTAATATTGTGCTTTGTGTAGTCGTGAATAGCCCGAGTGAAGGTTTTTCTTTCTCTCTCACTCGTTTTTTCTTTTCTTTGGTCACTCATGTTGGCTGCAGTTTGGCATGGAGGGGTGGGCCCTCTATTCGGAAGCAGAATATTTATACTGGAGGAATCCGATGAGCTACAAAGCTCTTTTTCGCAGATGTCCAGTACGGGCGGGTAAGAGCGTTACAACAACAAACAGTAAAAAAAACACATGATAGTGGTCCAATGTATAAGAAAGGTAAACGAATCACCCAAACATACAGATACATCTAAACCATCCTACAAGGCAAAGCCCACTGAGGTATGAACTTATTTTTCAGAAGCGACCTGGCCACAAATGATAGCTCAACAAAGTGGCCCATGATATGGACATTTATAGCACCAAAATAATCTAAATAATCTTAATACTAGTGGAAAACTTTCATCCAGCAGTGGATAGAGAATGGCTGATGATGATAGCGATGGTACATTTTGATCAGTTTCTCAAGTAGAATATATTTTAGAAGGATGTCTACATTTGACTTTGTCTTATACATTTTCTTAAAATATTTTTATCTCATGATTGGCACTTGTTCAGACCCCAAAAAACAATAATTGCAAACCCAGGAATTGTCACACAGCTGATATAGTCTTAATTGCTGTGGTGATATGGCATTGTGTGCCACAGTACAGACTTAAGTACCTAATCACTATTCTTTGGGTCTTTCGGTAAAGCCACATAGATTGATCAAATAATAAAAAATTATAACAATAATAACAATATCACGACGTTTCGATAGCAACACAAGCAATCGTCATCAGGTGAGAAATATCGCGGGGGAGCTACTGAGAATATACCTAATCCCTTTCTTTATCGCAACTTCACGTGGAAAAGGGTGGCTTGCGCTAAATGATATTCGCGCGCAGTGAGTGAATGAGATGAGCGGACAATACCTCTCATTCGTATATATCCGTCCCTCCACGTAAAATAAAAAAAAATGGGTGTTTTTTTTCTAAAGACCAACCCATCGGCCCACCACGGCCTTCTGGGAGTGCTTCATTTCAGGAAGCGTTGATTCACTCGGTAGCCAAGCCAGAACGTCACGCTATGTGCATACAGCATGCACCGCGTAAGCTTGTGTACACCGTGCACCGTGCTTGCGTACGCGGCGCGTACAGCGTGCACCGTGTAACTTCAGCACGTTTCATTTTTGCAAGCAATTTCAATAAACCGTAAATGATCGATTCTCGCAACTTCATCAAAGTATCGCGCACGTAAGAATAATTGTTTTCAATCGATGAAACGTGCACTCTACACACTCGGTTGATTTTGAAAAGCGTACATTAAGCCTTTAACTTGACTACGTCGCTCGATTTTTTTAAACTCCCCGATGTTTTTCCACGTTGTTTCAGTTTTCTATTCTGTGCTGCGTTCCGTGTTGGATAAGCGACACTGTCAACTCTAATTATATGAAGACACCTCCTTTGACGGGGTAGAAAATTACATTTGTTATTAAAAAAAAAATCTCTCACCCAATTGAGATCCAATTATACGCGACTGCCATCCTGCCCCCATGACGTGAAGTGGGTTAACATAGGTGTAGGGGGCTGTAAATTATTTCAGAAGATGGGGTAACAATGGTTCCTGTACAGCCCATCAATGCGGGACGGATCCCTGCAACTTGAGGGCACAACGACCTTTGCTTTTTATTTCAATGCAAAGTGTGGTGGCAGTCTGACACAGGCTACCACACAACACGAGATGGAAGTGGATTCACGACTGAGACTCTTCAAGGGAGGCCTCATGAAATTCTTGAGCCCCCCGGTGGAAAGAAATTAACTACCTCGCCTGGTATACAGGAGGTTGTGGGTTCAATCCCGACCCTGACAATGGCTGTATATTTGGAGTTTGCGTGTCTTCTGTCTCCCCATCGTCGTGTGGATTTGTCCCCGGGTCCTCAGGTTTTTCCCTCCACATTTACAATCAACATGCGTTTAGAGTATTTGGCTGCTATAAATTTCCACGTGATAAGCCGCTTCGTAGAGCTATCATTTGTGGCCAGGTCGCTTCTAAAAAAAGAGCTACGTAGATCAGTGGGCCTTACCTGGTAAAAAAAAAACTATAATCGATCTGCTACTCACAATAAAACGGGGCTGAATGGACTGAATGGGCCCCGTCTCGTTTGCAGCCTTGTTCTTACGTGTTTTTGGATGCCAATTATTATTATTTTTCTCATGCAAAATGGCCTGGCAGATATTTCCACACGTTGGCTGTCGGGCTCTCAGCAGCGCGTTTGTGTTTGTTTTTAAAGATCCCTAATTTTTGACAAGGGGAGGGGCGTGTCACGGTGGTTAGCGCGCGCTGCGCTGTGGAACCGGGTGATCCCACGTTTGAGTCCCACATCATCTTCTTCGCCCATGGTCGTTGGCATCCCCCTCACCAACCCTCACTGACCTATGTGGTGAAGTATGGTAATACGACTCTCCCCCCCCTCCCCCCCTTAACCAAGACGGTATGAGGTGACCTTCATCCAGCAGTGGATTGACGAAGGGCTGTATATTATTAGAAAACATAAATGTATTTCCTCCTTTATCCAGCGGTGGGTTGATCGTGGCTGATGATAATGATGATGAAAGTTCTCGGCAAGAAATCCTGTGTAACGGTATGGGTGTGTGTTTTCCTTCCCGCATCTTAAATTAATGTGCTGAGGTGTTAATACACGCCGAATATTGTAGGGCTGAAGTTAATGTTATTTTTCCTGTCTATAGCTTGAAGTGTATGTATTAGCAAACTCAGGTGAAATGGGATTCTATTGGATGGTGTTAATGTTTAAAGATTATTGTGGTTGAACATGTAAACGGATTTCTCAGTGCATGGTGATATCATGCCATCTGCAAACAAATGTGTAATTTTTTTTATTATCAGAATCCGCATCTTTATTTATCCTGGATAAATCCGATGAGCCATGAAGCTCTTTGTCGCCGATGTCCAGTAGAATAACGAGTGGGTTTTGAAATCACATTCTCTACATGACGACGTACGTATGTACGTTGAACTTCTTTCGCACCGCCGCACGTCGCCGACCGTGCTAAACGATGAGAACAGCGAACCAAGGGAAATAAACCTTTCTCAATTCAAGTGGGCCATGTTTCGATGCGTCGTCTTCTGAGGCCTAAATGGTTAATTATCTCACGGGTTCGGCTTGGCAGTTTCACCTTTTAAAAGTTCAACGTCAGCCCGTCGCTGGTGCTCGTATTGATGCTGTCCTGTTTTTTTTAATTGACAATTTTTTTAATCGTCCGTTCTTGGGCTCGTTTCAATCAGGCGCTGCAGCGTGTAACAGATACGGCGCACTTATTTATTAATTAATCGCCGTAAATGATATTGAATTATTCCAGGAGCATAGCGATACTCTCCCTTCCCGGGGATTTTGAGTGGTGACATTATAAAAGGCGGATTCACTGTGCGTGGTCAGTGAAATTACCATGTTGATTGCCGTCCGATGAGTAACGTATGCACATATTCGCGCCTTCGATTAGCACGGTTGGCTACGTACGGTGCAAAAGAAGTTCAACATACATACACACATACGCACGTAAAGAAGGCCGTCTCGTGTAGGCCAATTAGTTTCAATGACAATGCGTATATAATTATCAGAGCATGTTTGTTTGCACGTTTTGCCACAAGTGCGTGCGGTTAATGCAGTAACTCGATTCCTTGAAGTAGGTTTCTATTTGGTGTTTGAACATCTTAACACCTCCTGTTTTATTTCCAGAACGATTAAAGCCTATTATTATTTTTGTATTATCTTGATTCTGGAAAAAAAAGGTCCTGTAGATATTCATATATACGTGAGCATACATGCATATTCAGTAGTGTATGAATATTCTTGAGCGTACAGCATTGTACGTTAACAAAATATCGTGAAGCATGTGATGTTCGCACGGGATAGATTTCCTCGTGACGAAGATGATGCCGGAAAGTATTACCGGTGTTCTGTCCGAGCTGGATTTTTTTCTCTCAATGTTCTTGTGGTATAATGTTTGTGAAGCGTTAATAGGACACTTTGCAATTTGGCATGTTTTGAAACGGAAGAATAACTTAATTGATATGATAATCGTGGCCTTCATGAAGCCGTTTTTTTTCATGGCGAGTGATACGTACAATTTCCTTTTAATAATTGCACAAGTGTGGCGCAATGGTGGCACAATGATGGTACAATGGTGGCACAAGGGTGGCACAAGGGTGGCACAAGGGTGGCACAATGATGGCACAATGGTGACGCAATGGTGGCACAAGGGTGGCACAATGATGGCACAATGGTGGCACAATGATGGTACAAGGGTGGCACAATGATGGTACACGGGTCTCGGTAATACACGAAGAAGCTGGGGGGGTGGGGTTGCATGGCAGTGGCGGCAAGAACTAGACATGGCAGCAATAGAAACTAATGGACCAGAAGCGTAAAATTGAATGAGGGTAGTATGAAAAAGCAGACTTTTCCATGAGGCTCCAGGATAGGCACCTTTCTGCAGGCATTGTGGTGCTGTTTGCAAGCTGCCTTGCTTCTCGGTGTACAGGAGTTACGTTAGCTGTAGGGGCAGGCATTGCAGCACAGGCAGCGTGCTGTGTTGCTTCTTGGTGAGTTTAATTAGCTGTAGGTGCAGACATTACGGCACTTGTAAGAATGGCATCAATTAGTGTTATCGGCTTCGGTGAAGGTAAGTGCAGGTTTTCCGCGAGGTGCGTTGTGGGCGCAGGTAAAAATTCGGTAAGAAGGAATTGTAAATAGCGAGTGTGATAGTGAATCACCGTGTAGGGAATGTTAACTTAATAATGTATAGGTGAATTTGTAAGCGTTGTTGGCCACGTGACAACAAAGCCACGAATGAGTGATGTATGAGGCCGGAAGTTGTTGGAGGGTGTGCAATTGTTTATCGTGATTGAAGCAAGTATCAAGAGTATGTGAGTGGTATTGTGTGCACATCGAAAATTACGTGAACGTGAGTGTGTACATGTGCATGCGTTTTTTCTGCTTCCCAGGTGATGTAGACTTGACGCATGTATCACACGTAGGCTTTCGCGACCAATATTATTCATAATCTAAACCAAAAAAGCTTTATTATGAATGTACTCAAATTGTAAATGTTGTGGATTTACTCTCCAATACACCGGTGGGCTGAAGTAGTAACTACGCTATACACTACGCTATACACTACACTACTATCCACTACACTACTATGCACTATACACTACACTACTATGCACTACGCTATACACTACACTGTACACTATACTAGTTACTAATTGGCGCGTTGTTTACGTGACATACCTTACTGGCTGTGTCGGGTGGTGGAGGGTGACGACACATTTATACTTGCGCGATCTACCCTAAAAACCTTTATTGTGAATCGATGTATGTAGTCGTAGCTCTTGTGTAGCGTCTGTCTTGCGTAGAAGGAGGTAGGTAGTGCTGGTACGTAGACGTAGATGTTTTAGAAGAGTAAATGTATTGTGTGAATATTGCAGCGTGTGTGTGTTGGAGGTGAGCTGTGCACGTGCAGGAATCGCAGTAAACGGCGGTAGTGGGCCTAATAATAGTGAAGGATAACATGCAGCGGCGTGGGGGTGGGGTGTGCAGATGTTAGAGGTGTTGCAGGTGAGCCGGGAAGGTAAAACACACTCACTCATCCGTGAGTATGCACGGGAAACTTTGGGGTGTGTAGGCTTCATGGTTTTGGCACAATTTGGTTCACACACACACACACACGCAAAGTCTGCTTTATATAGATTGCTGAAAGTCGTTTTTGTTCTTCCAGAATGTCATGAGCATGTACAAGGACGTGTGCTACTACATGCACTACGCGCTGGCTGCGTATGGGTGGCCCATGTACCTCATCAGGAAGCCGGCCTGCGGGCTCTGCAAGCTCATGGCCAACTTTTCGTGAGTATTCCGCTTCGCTGGCGCCAGCGTTGGTCCCTTACCGTGCTCTCGCGTTGCACACGAAGGCTCATGGTAGAACGCGGCGTAGTGGCGACACTCAAAATCTGCTTCGGGACACCAAAGGGGTCTCGAACTGTTACAGCAGTTGGGGAGCACAGGTGGTGGGCAGGTGGTGCATGTAGGCACAGGTGGTGGGCAGGTGGTGCACGTAGGCACAGGTGGTGGGCAGGGGGGGCATGTAGGCACAGGTGGTGGACGGGGGGGGGGCACGTAGGCACAGGTGGTGGGCAGACGGTGCACGTACGCACAGGTGGACGGCAGGCGGTGCACGTAGGCACAGGTGGTGGGCAGGTGGTGCACGTAGACACGGGTGGTGCGCAGGTGGTGCACGTAGGCACAGGTGGTGCGCAGGGGGGGCACGTAGACACGGGTGGTGCACAGGTGGTGCACTTAGGCACAGGTGGTGCTCAGGTGGTGCATCTCAGTCAGTCATCCCAAAACACCCGGCTCCGTCTCCGAGACCTCTCCGCTGCCGGCAGTGGCGATCCTTCAACACTGCACGCGGCCTCAAAGCGCCCCCTACCCTGACGCAAGCGCCGCGGTGACATCGCCTCCGCTTGGTTGGCGAAGGGCAGCGGCGGCAAGCTGTTGTTGTTGTTGTTGTCGCTGCTGCGCCGCGTGAACCGCGTCAGGTGCTGCTGCCTGGGCTACTGCGTGCGGAGGCACCGATTCTCTCCCAGCCTCACGGTGCAGGATGACAACTGCTGCCAGTGCAACGTGGCCGCGATCCGCCGCCACTTCCTGGACGAGGGCCTCTCGGGGGTGGAGATCGTCTTCGCCTCCATCCACGACGCGGTGAGAGCGCCGCGGCAGCGCCGGTCGCACGGCTCGTTGCGCGAGCCTCGTACGCACGCGTGTTGAACTTTTTTTCGCACCGCATGTAGATAACCACGCTAATCGGAGGTGTGCGGGGGGGGGGGGGAAGGACGACAAACTAATTAGTTTTCAATCTAGATTTTTAAAAGCATAGCTCTAGCGGGCTCCCTAATATCGGTAGGAAGAGCGTTCCAGACGGCCGCAGAAGCGGGTCCGGTAGTCTAAGATCAGCATGCAGTTAGCTTTGCCTTTTATTTGGCTATGTTGAACTGCAACATTTGCATTTTTCATCCGCAGATTTTATCTACATATGTAAAGTTGAACGTGTTATTTTCACGTCTTTTCTTTTGCGAGTTGTTTCAATGCATTATATTATAGTGTTTGTATGTACGTATGTTGAACTTCTTTGGCACCATACGTAGCCATCCGCGATAATCGGAGGTGTGGGGGGAAGGATTACAAACTAAACACAAAAAAAATTGCAGTTCGAAAGAAATTCGTTTTCAATTAGATTTAAACGTGGGATTCCTAATCCCGGAAGGAAGAGCGTTCCAGACGGCCGCAGAAGCGCATCTGAAAGCACAGCGCGATGCGGTAACCGTCTTTGCAGAAATGTATGCTGAACTTCTTTCGCACTGCACGTAGCCAACTGCGCTAATCTGAGCCTCGCCCGCACGGATGTGTTCACCGCGAGTTGACACCGCGCACTCTTGCCGACGAGGCTATCGTACCGGTGGCTCTTTGAGTTCTTCACCGGGTTAAACACACCAGTGTGCGTCCGTTGCTCTATCGCTGCAACGGGATGTCGTCGATCGGCGGGCACACCATGCTGTTGGGCGTGATCTCTCGCTTGACAAGAGTGGGTCGTGTGGAAGCTGCCATTATCCACTCCGGGAAATAAGCCAAAGCGGAGGTCGAATGATTTCATTCGCTCTGCCCGTCGGTCTGCCTGACTTGGCGTCACGAAGATGAGTCAATATAAATACAATTTCAGCGCAAAGTTTTTGTTTGCCTTTCTGGGACCCTTTCCCTGTAGGACTCCGGCCTAAATTGATCGAAGGGTCGCCGAAAACTTGGTGGTAAATAAATAAATATGCCCCGACGCTAAAATGGGCTGAGCCGCTTGCCCAAGGCGTCGCGTGCCGTGCGTGCATTGCATCCCCGGACGCCGTCTCGCGTTTTCGTGCGTCACGCGCTCCGTCCGACGTCACCTCGTTGCGCCGGCTCGGACGTTATCGTTATCGGCCGCTTGATCGTAAGCGCTCCCGAGGTCAAACACGCTTCTTGGAATCCGTGCGAATAAGCGTGGTTCACTTTCCTCGTTGCACGTTTCAAACGTCTTTCAGCCAGGCCAGTGCACCACGTTGTCATTCGTTTTTCGCGGGCTTGCCATTCCATGGCACGACAGTGAGTATTTGCGAGGGTGTCTGAAATCTGTTGATTTGTTGCCACTGCACCCGTTGTTGATCAATGCTGATTTCAGCCGCATAAGGGAGGTCTGAGTGCCACGAAATTCCATTCACACTGCACCTTGTCCAGAGCAACCGCCAAGCGCGTATTGCCACTCGGTACAAAGGGAGAGCGAGAGGGAGAGCGAGAGGGAGAGAGAGAGAGAGCGACATGGAGTAGGAAGAGAGAGGGTAGAGAAAGAGGGGGGGGGGCAGAGAGGGGGGTAGAGAGAGAGGAAAGGGGTAAGGAGAGCAGAGCGAGAAATATTTTGTTAAATCTTTCATTTAAAAGGGGGGGGTTACATAAAGCAAAGCATAAAAAATGATGAACGAAGCAAAGTGCCGACTACAACGAGCATCTTCTCGTTTCCTCTGATCGTAAAAAAGAAAAAAAAAGAGAGGCAGCAGGTTAACCCTCCGCCTTAAGATCTTGGATTATATAATAAATAATGAAATCCAGAGACACTGTGGGGAGGATAACGGGGTAGGTAAATAGAGGAGGGATTAATGTTTATTTTTAGGCGTACAGGCTCGTTGAGCGATGACAGTCAAAGCACTGGTCTTCACTTAATATTGATTGCACGTCCTGTGTTTTTTTTATATATATACACTGAGCTGTCTATGGCTGGTCTGCGCTGTCCCATAAACCACACTCACTCTATACTTGGCTGCAGCAATTACAGCGTGCGGCTTGTGAACACGCGTGTTCCCGTGATTTGGTTGAAATGGGAAATGCAAATCCGTTCGACAAACCAAATCGTACTTGCGCGTCGAGCACGAGTGGAGTGTAACATAGGAATAGGTTTTACCCTTTTAACTGGCACAAAAACTGACACCTTTATTCAAGGCATCATGTTTGCAAAAACCACAACACAAGCAGTCAAATTCAAGGACTGTGCATATTATTATCAGAGTTGTCTTTTTTGTTTGCATTCTGACTGCTTGTGTTGTGGTTTTTTTGCAAACATGATGCCTTGAATAAAGGTGTCAGTTTTTTGTGTGCCAGTTAAAAGGGTAAAACCTATTCCTATATCTTGTTTCTGGCAAAGGAGGTCTCATAATGTTAATGCTCACCCCGAGCCCTCAATACTCTGATAGTGCGCTGTTTTTGAGTTGTACGCCTTTTGGCGTCTTCTGGTCCAACACCAATGGAGACTGGGCTCTAAGAAAAGCCGTCTCGGGTGTGGACCAATCAAATTCAAGGACAGTGCCAATATCATTATCAGAGTTGTCTCTTTTTGTTTTGCATTTTGACTGCTTGTGTTGTGGTTATTGCAGACATGATGCCTTGAATAAAGGTGTCAGTTTTTGTGCCAGTTAAAAGGGTAAAACCTATTCCTATATCTTGTTTCTGGCAAAGGAGATCTCATATTGTTAATGCTCACCCCGAGCCCTCAATACTCTGATAGTGCGCTGTTTTTGAGTTGTACGCCTTTTGGCGTCTTCTGGTCCAACACCAATGGAGACTAGGCTCTAAGAAAAGCCGTCTCGGGTGTGGACCAATATAATTCAAGGATAGTGCCAATATTATTATCAGAGTTGTCTCTTTTGTTTGCATTCTGACTGCTTGTGTTGTGGTTTTTTTGCAAACATGATGCCTTGAATAAAGGTGTCAGTTTTTTGTGTGCCAGTTAAAAGGGTAAAACCTATTCCTATATCTTGTTTCTGGCAAAGGAGGTCTCATAATGGAGTGTAACATTTTACTGTTTTGTAAACGGAGCAGATTGATGAAGTCGTTGTCCAAAATCGTTTTTTTTTTTATATGACGGGTAATGATCGTGGTTAAGTATTTTTCTTTCAAAGGAATTTACTTCAAATTGAATTCCTCAAATTTGACTCATTATTTTTCAAAGAGCGTTTTGCACGTCAGAGCACGCGCACTTGCGAACCGCACACAACGGTTTTCCGCGCGGGAATTCGGATCGATCAAGATGAGGGGCAGATGGGGACGGGGGGGTTCGAAGGGAAAACGGTCGGAGAGAACTTGCCAGCGGCGGCCCTTTGCGTTTCGGGACACGTTGGTTGCTAAAGGAGGCGCGAGAGATAATTCACAGAGTCAGAGTCAGAGGCGTTGTGTAAGGCCCATTGCCAGTGACAAATGAAAAGATGTCTCGGGCAAAATGAGAGCGTAGGGCCGAAATAGTCTTTTGCTCTGTGGGAGGCGGAGCCTTTTGCAGCCAGGCTCCGCGATGGTGGAATTCCCTTCCTCCTCGCTCCGTTGGGGAATCTTGAGTCCGTTATACTTTTTTTTAAATGGCATCTTAGAACGCCCGTGTTTTTTTTGTTTGTTACTACATTGAGGCTCTCTCCGTAACCTAAGCTTCATGTAAAGCGCTTTGAGGCCCTACGCGAATTGCGCTGTAGAAAATCGAGTTTATAATAATTATCTAAATATTCTCGAGTGATGGCTCTGGAGTTCCACCCAGTTGGAGGTGTTTTCTGTCAGCGTTGCTGCGTGCAAGCGATTGCAGGCCTGGTGCCTTTACGTCTGCTGGGCAAATTGAATGCAACACGTGAGTTCGTTACACAAAAAAAATGGATTCAAGATTACTCGCCATGGTCGCGAGATGTTAGCTACCTCACCTTATATGCAGGGAGTCGTGGAGTTCCATCCAGACCCTGACGCCTGCTGTTTTTTTGGAGTTTGCGTGTCTCTGTCTCTCCCCCGTGGTCGCGTGGATTTTTCTGCGGGTCTTCTGGTTTTTCCCTCCACATTTAGCTTCAGCCACTTCGTTGAGCCATCAATTGTGATACCCAGGTCGCTTCTCAAAAAGAGCCATGTAGCTCAGTGGACCTTTCCTGGAAAAAGAAAACAAATAGTTTCTAGATTCGTTTTAATAGTTTAAGGAAGAGACATACCAGACGATGTGCAGCACATGCACGAAGCTCCTTCCCGGACGGCTCCAGCCAATAACAGCGTAAGACAAAAAATACAAGTCTACAGCTACAAAGGACTTGCATTTTACATGATAACGTTTTTTTTTATGTAATACAAATTTTGCATGAACATTTAAACAGCATAAATTGGAACCCTGATCTCCGAAATTGGCTTTCAAGGTGAATGGTATAATGCCTATTTAAATCAGTGCTGCTATCGCGTGTGGTTTTAACTAATTCATGATTATGTACTCGGCCACAATGCACGGGCTTGCACTTTCACACGAGCGTGCGTGCGTGCGTGTGTCTAATTTGGCGGCGAGCGGTTAGCAGCGGCCACCCGGGTTGGATTCCCGCTCACGGCGACCACCGGTGACGATTATCTGAACCGGTCAATAGCTTCTCCGACGTCGACTCGGCCTCAGATGGGCAACCGCTGCGGTGTGTAAACATCGCCGCGAGAGAGACAAAGGCGGCCGGGCGTGGTGCTGGCCACCCCATCCCCCTTTGTGTTCAGTGCCAGCCTTAATAGGTGCTACTCGCTAAGAGCACTTGCCCCTACAGTCTGTTAAGGATACACGGGGGAGCTTTGCCTTTGTCTAATTAGGTAGGAACCCGCGTGCAAAGCGTGCCACGTTTCTGGGTGACGAGCAGAGACGGTCTCACGTGCGCACGTAGGGGAGCGTGATGGAGCACAGCGGGGGAGCGGTGGTGCAGTGGTTAACGCACGGCGCCACGAACCCGGCGAGCCGAGCTTCATTCCCGCTCACAGTGGGCCTCCCCCCCCCCCGAGGTCTGCTCGACCTGAAACGGGTACCTGGTGCGGTGTATCAACATCAGGACTCGCTGGCCTCGGCGCACGTCCGTGCGCCGTCCCCGCTTTAGCAGGTCGCTCGCTAACGCCACTCGTCCCAGCGGGTCTGCTCGAGGCTGCGCGTGGGGGCTCTCTCCGTTTGTCTTTGACGGAGCACGGCGCCCGTTCGTCATCGGAGGCAGGCCGAGGAGATGTCTTTTTGGCGAACCCAAATATAAACATTTCCAAAGGTGTGCTGCTGCTGATGCTGCTGCTGTGGCTGCTGCTGCTGCTGCGGCTGCTGCGGCTGCTTTTGATGCTGCTGCTGCTGCTGCTGATGCTGCTGCTGATGCTGCTGCTGCTGCAGCTGCTGCTGTTGCTGCTGCTGCTGCAACCTGCTGTGTCACAGCCAGAGGTTAATAGTGACGTGTCATTATTTTTCTGTTGGAAACTACTGCGCTGTAATGCGAGCTTTTCATCACCGCTGTCACTCATGCCCCCCTGCGCGACTAAATGATTGTCCCGGGGTGGGGGGGAGGGGGGTGGGGTTCACTCGCCGTTGTTATCCAGCCCGTGGACATGCAATGTCGTCGCCCCGTGTGTGTACAGCCAACTGTGCGCGGTATCACGGTTGTTCAAAAGAGACAAATGAACGTGACGATTTCCCCCCCCCCCCCCCAATCTCTCTGAAAAACACATGAACCCTTTTAAACCGGCGCATACATGCGCACACACGCACAGCGACTGAGATTTAACACTTAGCGTTCAGCCGTGAGAGTCTTAAGACTACCGCGCACGGGGGAACGAGCTTGAAGCGCGGACTAGATGTTGTTTTGAGGTCGCGATGGAATAAAAGATGAGATCGAGAAAACCGAGCTTTAAGTGCGCACTAGATGTTGTTTTTGAGGTCGCGATGGAATAAAAGATGAGATCGAGAAAACCGAGCTTTAAGAGCCCACTAGTTGTTGTTTTGAGATCGCGATGGAATAAAAGATGAGATCGGGGGGGAAAATCTTGAGCAAACAAATGGAAGAATAGCATTGGGAAATGGGGATGTGAGAGAGACAAATCATCAATCTCCTCCCTTCAGCCATATGAGAGCCCGCTGCGTGTGTGTGTGTGTGCGCGTTCATTGAGCTTCTTTCGCGCCGTACGTAGCCAACCGTGGCACTCGTGTCGTCTTGCAATTGGTGCAGTTCAACCAGTTGTGAACCCATTCAGGTCTGTCATTGCTTGTGATTGATGACCTTTGTTTGGTCCACTGAGACTCTTGGTCCATTCCATTCAATGCATCGTTTAATGTCCTCTGCGTAATCTCGAGAGAGAGAGAGGCTTTTCAAGTGATTGGCGTGGTTTTTCTTTTTAGCCAGGTGATAGTCAAGAGCGATTGGCCTATTTAGGTGTCATGAAGAGGCAAGTAATATGCATGTTTAATCTGCGGTAAAAGTAAAAATTTGGCTGCGGCACGTGAATATTTGTGCGTGCCGAACCTACCCGTTGCAAGGCGGTGTGAGCAGATTGCGAGTTCGATTTAGCATGACGGCAGGAAATCATCGGGACAAATGTATGTTCGTATAACACGTGGGCTTTCGTGACCAGCATTATCCATAATAATTGGGATCCTAGGATGGAATGCGCATTATAAATCCGGAGTATTTATTCATTATTATTATGAAGGTTTTTTTTGGGCATCACCTTTATTCCTCTATCTAAGACCAAAACATGAGGAGGATTTATCCACAGTTCTGGCTATCGCCTGATGATGATGATGATGATGCTGGTTGTTGTAATCGCCAGCAAAACGTCACAGTACTCGAATTGTAAATGTTGTGGGTTTATTCTCCAAAACACGCCGGTTTGCTGAAGTCGTGACTAATTGGCACGTTTTGTTTACGTGTCGAACCTCACTCATTGATTCGATCGGGTAGTGGCGGGTTTCACGACACATTTATATTTATGCGATCTTACCCAAAAAAACCTTTATTATGGATACTAAGCCTACGTGTTAAACTGTGCGTGTTTATGTTGAACTTCTTTCGCACCGGAGGTGCGGAGGAAGGACAACAAACTAAAACAGAAAGAGCAGTTCTAAAGAAATTAGTTTATCAATCTAGATGCTTTGACAGTGCCTAGCTCCCAGTGGCTTCTTAATATCGGAAGGAAGAGCGCTCCAGACGGCCGCAGACACGCATCTGAAACCTCTATTATGTACGTGCGCATGTTGAACTTCTTTGGCGCCGTACGTAGCCAACCGTGCTAATCGGAGGCGCGGAAATCGAGGCGGATGAAGAAGTTTGTGATGCGTGGGAGACGTGCGCAGTACGAGTCTGGGCAGGTTGCCGAGACAGGCGCTGGAGAGGCGCCCAGCGACTCCAGAAGTCGTTCAGCCAGATCACAGGATACTGGATGATCAAAACTTGGGGGTTGAGTATCAATTATGTAATGGGTGGGGGGGGGGTGTCTATCAGAAGCATATGAGCGATGGTCGGGTGGCACCGATGCAATTAGCTGTCATGACTTTGATTTTCATCTTGTGATCTTCTTCTTTCGTACGGCTGATGTAGATGCAGAGCAACAAACTACAATTTCACATTCAGGTTCTCAAGCCAGATGAACGTGTCGGGGCAGTGGAGTTGTATCGCCGTATTTGTGGAGCGGGCATTGCATCGTTATACGTTGTATAGTCTGTTCTGGATGACCACAGTGGCACACTACTACTGGAGAGATTTTTAATTTTGCATTTGTGCATCAGGTATCCGCATCTGCCATGGATTGTGCGGATGCAGTTGAAGCCGCATCTTGTGATGTTGCCGACAAAGATGATGCTGGCTGATGTTGATGATTAAAGTGACAATGATTGATGGTCATGATGATGATGAAAAAGGCGCCGAACTTCAGGGAATCGAACTCAGGGGGCTGGCTGATATTGATGATTAAAGTGACGATAATTGATGATGATGTTGATAGTGATGAAAAACGTGCCCGAGTCAGCGAATCGAACTCGGAGGGGAGGCGGTGGGGGGGGGGGGAGCCCCCTTCTCTGCGGCGAAGACACCGGGGGCTATTGCCACGGCTGCCCGCCCCCTGACGACTGGATGCCCCCTTCGGTCCCGCGCGTGTTTCTTTGTGGCGGCCGCAGGTCTACGAGACGCCCTTCTACGTGGCCGTGGATCACGACAAGAAGCGCGTTGTCGTGAGCGTGCGGGGCACGCTCTCGCTCAAGGTGCGCCTCCGGTGACGAGCAATTCGCTGCGCGCCTGTTACACGCGCGCGTCAAAATGACCGCCCTCACGGTTATCATCTCCCTCGGTGTCGTACGTTGAACTTCTCTCGCACCGTACGCTGCCATCCGTGCTCATCGGAAGGTGCGTGGAAGGACGACAAACTAAGCACACGACAAAAAAATATATATAATTCCGCCACCGCCGTCAAACGGTTTGCGTGGTGAGACATTATCGCGACCGTGTGGCTGTCGCTGAGGCCGGGTGGGCGCTGCGGCGTGTCACACGCAGTGTCACCGGGGCACAGGAGGCTTGAACCTGCCCTCGTTCCCGTAAAGGGACGGCGTCTCTCCCGTCGAAACGCAGCGGACGCCATGCAATGGCGGCGGAGTGGACGGTACAAACGACGTGTCGATTCCATGGGAGAATTATTCTGGCCCTTAACAGCACGCGCTCGTTTCGGTGTGTTACCCTTCGGTACGTTAGACCGAATCGGAACAGTAGGTGATTCGTGACAAAGACACTTAGGTTGAATATTCATAACAAAGACACTTAGGTTGAATATTAAAAATATGGCTGTGATTTCAATTTGGTGCATGCTCATGTACGGCTCGTTTGTCAATCCACTGCTGGATGAGGGCCCCCTCCCTCCAACGCCGTGCAGGCCATGGAGGTGGGTTTACTTGACCATACTTCACCGTGCTGCTCACTGTGGTGTTTGCTGAAGTTTGGGAGCATAGAAGTACTGTACAACAGTGGATATTGCTTCACGGGAAGTCTCTTACCCACCCGCACAATTAATCATTGTTGTTTTTCAATGCTATACGCTGTCGTATTGTTATATTTTTAATATACAGTGAAGGAAAAGAGTATTTGATCCCCTGCTGATTTTGTACGTTTGCCCACTGACAAAGAAATGATCAGTCTATAATTTTAATGGTAGGTTTATTTGAACAGTGAGAGACAGAATAACAACAAAAAAATCCAGAAAAACGCATGTCAAAAATGTTATGAATTGATTTGCATTTTAATGAGGGAAATAGGTATTTGACCCCTCTGCAAAACATGACTTAGTACTTAGTGGCAAAACCCTTGTTGGCAATCACAGAGGTCAGACGTTTCTTGTAGTTGGCCACCAGGTTTGCACACATCTCAGGAGGGATTTTGTCCCACTCCTCTTTGCAGATCTTCTCCAAGTCATTAAGGTTTCAAGGCTGACGTTCGGCAACTCGAGCCTTCAGCTCCCTCCACAGATTTTCTATGGGATTAAGGTCTGGAGCCTGGCTAGGCCACTCCAGGACCTTAATGTGCTTCTTCTTGAGCCACTCCTTTGTTGCCTTGGCCGTGTGTTTTGGGTCATTGTCATGCTGGAATACCCATCCACGACCCATTTGCAATGCCCTGGCTGAGGGAAGGAGGTTCTCACCCAAGATTTGACGGTACATGGCCCCGTCCATCGTCCCTTTGATGCGGTGAAGTTGTCCTGTCCCCTTAGCAGAAAAACACCCCCAAAGCATAATGTTTCCACCTCCATGTTTGACGGTGGGGATGGTGTTCTTGGGGTCATAGGCAGCATTCCTCCTCCTCCAAACACGGCGAGTTGAGTTGATGACAAAGAGCTCCATTTTGGTCTCATCTGACCACAACACTTTCACCCAGTTGTCTTCTGAATCATTCAGATGTTCATTGGCAAACTTCAGACGGGCATGTATATGTGCTTTCTTGAGCAGGGGGACCTTGCGGGCGCTGCAGGATTTCAGTCCTTCACGGCGTAGTGTGTTACCAATTGTTTTCTTGGCGACTATGGTCCCAGCTGCCTTGAGATCATTGACAAGATCCTCCGGTGTAGTTCTGGGCTGATTCCTCACCGTTCTCATGATCATTGCAACTCCACGAGGTGAGATCTTACATGGAGCCCCAGGTCGAGGGAGATTGACAGTTCTTTTGTGTTTCTTCCATTTGCGAATAATCACACCAACTGTTGTCACCTTCTCACCAAGCTGATTGGCAATGGTCTTGTAGCCCATTCCAGCCTTGTGTAGGTCTACAATCTTGTCCCTGTCATCCTTGGAGTGCTCTTTGGTCTTGGCCATGGTGGAGAGTTTGGAATCTGATTGATTGATTGCTTCTGTGGAGAGGTGTCTTTTATACAGGTAACAAGCTGAGATTAGGAGCACTCCCTTTAAGAGTGTGCTCCTAATCTCAGCTCGTTACCTGTATAAAAGACACCTGGGAACCAGAAATCTTTCTGATTGAGAGAGGGTCAAGTACTTATTTCCCTCATTAAAATGCAATTCAATTTATAACATTTTTGACATGCGTTTTTCTGGATTTTGTTGTTGTTATTCTGTCTCTCACTGTTCAAATAAACCTAGCATTAAAATTATAGACTGATCATTTCTTTGTCAGTGGGCAAACATACAAAATCAGCAGGGGATCAAATACTTTTTTCCCTCACTGTATATATTTTAAAAAATCATGCTGTATATTTATTATCCACTGCCCGGTCTCCGCCTCCACGGCACGATGCGTGACTGTGTGCTTTGTCTCCTTCAGGATGCCCTTACGGACCTGACGGGCGACGCTGAACCCTTGCCGGTGGAAGGACATCCTGGCACGTGGCTCGGGCATAAGGTAGAGGGAGCTTTGGCGTTCATGGCCAGTGCAACGCACGACGGGGTGATTTTTCAGAGGGTGGCGGCAGCTATTTTTTAAAATTTTTACCAGGTAATCCCCACCGAACTGTTTAGCTCTGTTTTTCAGAAGCGACCTGGGCCACAAATAATAGCTCGACGAAGCGTGTGGACAATTAGAGCAGCCATATGCAGTTAAATGCTGATTCCAAATGTGGAGGGGGAAAAACGGGAGGACTCGGGTAAAAATTCACGTGACCACGGGGAGAACATGCAAAATCCAAATATTATACAGGCGTCAGGGTCTGGATCGAACCCACATCCTCCTGTATACCAGGCGAAGGCGTTAACATCTCACCACTGTGCCGCCCCAGGCCTTTCTCACAGCGAGAATGGCCGGGGTCAGGGGTCGGCAACCAAAATAACAAGAAGAGACATTTTTTTCGAATTCGGTAAATAAAACACTCAATATTTCAAGAGCCGCAATGCCATGTGAGTACGAGATGGCGATCCTGAATAAATAACGTCATGAAGCAGTCCTTCAAGATATGTTGATGACGGCTTTGGTTGTCTGGCCACATGGTAAAGATACACTTAATGCATTTCTAAATAATCTCAATTCGCAAAACCCAGCCATTCAGTTCACCATGGAAATGGAGGTGAATAACACTCCCATTCCTGGATATTTTGCTCGGACGCGGCCAAAATGGTAAAATAACACACGGCGTTCACCGAAAGGAAATGCACACTGATGCCTATCGGAATGCAGATTCGCATCATCACCCCGCACAGAAATCCTCTCTCATCAAGACGCTCATACATTGAGCTAAAACATTGTCAGATGGTGAACGTTTGAGGACGGAGATAAACATGTTAAAGGAGCGCTACGATGAAATGGCTTCAATAATGCTCAAATTAACAGAGCATTGAATTCCAAACCAAGATCGAACAGCAAGACTGTTAAAAGCGATCAGGTTATTAAAACAATTAAAATACCATATATTGCAGGAGTAACTGACAAATTAGCTAGAGTTTTGGAGAGACAAAAAATCACAGTAAGATTTGGCACAGTACACGAAATTCACAAACTAAGTATCTTGTACTAAAGATGAATTGCCTACAGTGAGGGAAAAAAGTATTTGATCCCCTGCTGATTTTGTATGTTTGCCCACTGACAAAGAAATGATCAGTCTATAATTTTAATGCTAGGTTTATTTTAACAGTGAGAGACAGAATAACAACAGAAAAATCCAGAAAAACGCATGTCAAAAATGTTATGAATTGATTTGCATTTTAATGAGGGAAATAAGTATTTGAGCCCTCTGCAAAACATGACTTAGTACTTGGTGGCAAAACCCTTGTTGGCAATCACAGAGGTCAGACGTTTCTTGTAGTTGGCCACCAGGTTTGCACACATCTCAGGAGGGATTTTGTCCCACTCCTCTTTGCAGATCTTCTCCAAGTGATTAAGGTTTCGAGGCTGACGTTTGGCAACTCGAACCTTCAGCTCCCTCCACAGATTTTCTATGGGATTAAGGTCTGGAGACTGGCTAGGCCACTCCAGGACCTTTTAATGTGCTTCTTCTTGAGCCACTCCTTTGTTGCCTTGGCCGTGTGTTTTGGGTCATTGTCATGCTGGAATACCCATCCACGACTCATTTTCAATGCCCTGGCTGAGGGAAGGAGGTTCTCACCAAAGATTTGACGGTACATGGCCCTGTCCATCGTCCCTTTGATGCGGTGAAGTTGTCCTGTCTCCTTAGCAGAAAAACACCCCCAAAGCATAATGTTTCCACCTCCATGTTTGACGGTGGGGATGGTGTTCTTGGGGTCATAGGCAGCATTCCTCCTCGTCCAAACACGGCGAGTTGAGTTGATGACAAAGAGCTCCATTTTGGTCTCATCTGACCACAACACTTTCACCCAGTTGTCCTCTGAATCATTCAGATGTTCATTGGCAAACTTCAGACGGTCATGTATATGTGCTTTTTTGAGCAGGGGGACCTTGTGGGCACTGCAGGATTTCAGTCCTTCACGGCATAGTGTGTTACCAATTGTTTTCTTGGTGACTATGGTCCCAGCTGCCTTGAGATCATTGACAAGATCCTCCGGTGTAGTTCTGGGCTGATTCCTCACCGTTCTCATGATCATTGCAACTCCACGAGGTGAGATCTTGCATGGAGCCCCAGGCCGAGGGAGATTGACAGTTCTTTTGTGCTTCTTCCATTTGCAAATAATCGCACCAACTGTTGTCACCTTCTCACCAAGCTGCTTGGCAATGGTCTTGTAGCCCATTCCAGCCTTGTATAGGTCTACACTCTTGTCTCTGACATCCTTGGAGAGCTCTTTGGTCTTGGCCATGGTGGAGAGTTTGGAATCTGATTGATTGCTTCTGTGGACAGGTGTCTTTTATACAGGTAACAAGCTGAGATCAGGAGCACTCCCTTTAAGAGTGTGCTCCTATTCTCAGCTCATTACCTGTTACAAAGACACCTGGGAGCCAGAAATCTTTCTGATTGAGAGGGGGTCAAATACTTATTTCCCTCATAAAAATGCAAATAAATTTATAACATTTTTTGACATGTGTTTTTCTGTATTTTTGTTATTTTGTCTCTCACTGTTCAAATAAACCTACCATTAAAATTATAGACTGATCATTTCTTTGTCAGTGGGCAAACGTACAAAATCAGCAGGGGATCAAATACTTTTTTGCCTCACTGTAAGTTATCAACAGAAGGTGTGTATCGGATTAATTGCTTATGTGCCAGATGCTATATTGGACAGACAGGACGTAACATTAGCGTAAGGCTAAAAGAATACCACAGAAATATGAAATACTCTCAAACACAGTCGGCAGTTGCAGAACATTCTTTGCCAACAAGGACACTCAATTTATTTTGATAACGTTAAAGTGTTGTGTTAAACTAGTTATTACTGGCTGAGACTAATTCGAGAATCGATTGAAATTGAGAGAAATACAAATCATTTTAACCGTTTGACAGCTACAGGCATAGTGCGGCCTGGAAGCGTATTATTCAGTAATACATCTTATAATTACAATTTCTTATAGAGGAAGCATGCTAATTAACTGATTACTAATCTATTATATAATGATAATAGATTAGTAATTCCTCCGCCTCTGATCTCTGGATGTCAGAGACAAGATGATGGGTCCAGAGATCAGAGGCAGGTGGATGGCTTCACTATTCTGGCAAATCACCCGATGATGCTGGATGTAATTACCAGCGAAACGTCGTACTCAAATTGTAAATGTTGTGGATTTACTCTCCAACACACCATTACATTAATTTCTAAGTAACTGCAATTTTTACAAAAGCTTCCTACGAAATGTCAACTATTGTACGAATTCTTTACATTTATTACAAAATTTTTGTAGTAACCCTCGGTTTTCTGAGAAAAAATATGAGCCGCTGTTTTGTATTGGTGCAATGTGCTGCTGCGGCTTGCAGCTTTGGGAGCCCATAGGTTAGCGCTGGCAAAGCTGGCCGTGTGGGTGACATAGCCACCGAGGGTTGTCGGGGTGCTGAGCCCACCACGGACACTACCTGGGGCCCGAGGGGCTCCAAATCCCAAAGAACCACGTTCTCAAGCAACCGTGCATGTGTCTGTGTGCGCGTGTGTGTGTGGGGAGCGGTAGTGTAGCGGTTAGCGCGCTGCGCTACGAACCCGGTGACCTGAGTTCGATTCCCGCTCACGGCCAACACCAGTGACGATTATCTGAACCGGTCCTCCCCTAGGTCGACTCAGACTCAAATGAGTACCTGGTGCGGTGTGTAAACATCGCCACTAGGGAGACAAAGGCGGTCGGGCGTGGTGCTGGCCTCCCCACCCCCTCGTGTCCCGTTCCGGCCTTCATAGGTGCTCGCTAACAGAACTTGCCCCTACAGTCTGGTAAGGGTATATGGGGGATCTTTGTCTTTTTGTCTTTGTGTGTGTCTGTGGGCTCAGCCTGGTCACAAGTGACTGCATCGAAATAAAACCCAGACTGGATAACTTCGCCAGGTGTGAGCGATTGGGGGAAGCGGTAGTGCAGTGGTTAGCGTGCTGCGCTATGATACTCGGTGACCCAAGTTCGAATCCCGCTCATGGCCAACACCAGTGACGATTATCTGAGCCGGTCCTGGACCTCCCCGAGGTCAACAAAGGGGGCCGGACGTGGTGCTGGCCACCCACCCCCTCGTGTGCCGTGCCGGCCTCCATAGGTGCTCGCACTTGCCCCGACATTCTGTTGCAGGCTATACGGGGTTGATCTTTGTCTGTGGGCTCAGCCTGGTCACAAATGACCGCATCGAAATGAAACGCAGACTGGATAACTTCGCCAGGTGTGAGCCGGGTTGCCGGTCGCACGATCGAGGTGCGTTGAGCGATGAAAGCCGGTTGAATCGGCGGAACAAACGGTCTTGTCAATGTGCCGCCCCGTTGCACCGGCTCGAATGCAGGGATTTGCGCCGCGCCGCTGTGCTCTCAAGTGTGTGCCTGTGTTGCTATGGCGAAGGCAGCGCCGGCGTGCGATCCCGTACCTCATACATTGTCTGTGCTGTGTCGCCTGTCGCTCTTCAGGGAATGGTGTTCTCTGCCAAGTACGTTAAGAAGAAGCTTGAAGAGGAGATGATTCTATCCCAGGCCTTCGGACGAGACCTGGTCAGTGCAGGTTCTCGCGCTCGAAATTGTTTTGTTCAACGCGTTGCACCGCCACGTCTCATTTTGCTTCAGCGCGAGCTACCACGGCCATGAACAGTAGTTTAATCGATTTAAAACTAAACTATTTTTTTATTTGACCAGGTAAGCAATTGGATAGCCCAGCTGAAACTGAGTGACCGAACGACGAACACATGGATGGATCGTGTTGACTACTGGGGATCAAATCCCCGTGTTTTCCCTCCACGTGTAGCATCAGCGCACGTTTCAAGTCTTTGACTGATGTCAATTTCCATGTGACGCTAAGCCACTTCGCTGGGCCACAATTTGTGGCCAGGCTGCTTCTGAAAAAAAGACGCTACACAGCTCGGCAGGCTATATAGCGTACCTGGTGTGTGTGTGTGTGTAAAAAAGAAAATGAGTTAAAAAAATTAATGAGTTCAAAAATAAGTGGCCCTGGGGTCGGCCACGGTTTACCCCAGGGGCGATGGCGCCCACCAGCGGTGACGAACGACGGCGTGGGTCGCCACGGGGAGGGAACGTGCAAGAGGGGGAAGGGGGGGGGGACGTCCACTCTGGAAATCAACGACGCCGGCTCGTTTGAGCAGGAGCCACACGGGTGGATCCAGGAAGCACGTGTGAGAGTTTGGCGAGGGCTTTGGTCGTGGGCGGGGGGAGTCTCTCACGATCTCACCAAAACAAACCCAATCACCTCTATTGTGGATGATATTGGTCACAAAAGCCTCACCTGTTAAACTCGCTCACGGCAGTCAGAGCGCAGAGCTGTCAACCCCTTATCAGTGCCTTATTACAGACCAATTCAGACCTTATTGGTCACCCCGTGCCCCTTATAAATCTCAACGTTCAACCTACAAAGTCCCATTACAAGGGAGAAACACAAAAAAATAGACAATCACCACTACTACACTCACCACTTGTGCACTCACCACTAGTACACTCACCACTACACTCATCACTACACTCACCACTTGTACACTCACCATTACATACCTGTCAACCGCTTATCATTGCCCTACCTTATTACAGACCATTTCAGACCTTATTGGTCACCCCATGCCTCTTATAAATCTCAACGTTCGTCCTACAAAGTTCCATCAGAAGGGAGAAACACAAAGAAATAGACAAACAAAATGTTGCCCGTATTGAAACGGCTGTAAGCTGTATGGACCTGAAAACTGAATTTCCCTGTACAAGAATACGGGGTCAACCGAATGGGTTGACAGCGATGGTAGTGGGGAGCGGTGGTGTCACAGCGGTTAGCGCGCTGCGCTACGAACCCGGCGACCCAAGTTTGATTCCCGCTCACGGCCACCAACACCAGTGACGATTATTTGAACCGGTCCTGGGCCTCAAATGAGTGCCCAGTGCAGTGTGTAAAAATCATCGCCACTGGGAAGACAAAGGCAGTCGGGTGTGCTGCTGGACACCCACCCCCTCATGTTCTATGCTGGCCTTCATAGGTGCTCGCTAATACCACTTGCCTCAACAGTCTGTTAAGGCTATAACAGGGGATCTTTGTATTTGTCTGAGTAAGCATGTTGAACTTATTTCGCACCGTACGTAGCGAATCGTGCAAATCTGAGGTGCGGGGGAAGGACAACAAACTAAACACAAAAAGCAATTCTAAAGAAATGAGTTTTCAATTTATATTTAAAAGTGAACACAGCTCCAGTGACTTCCTAAAATCAGAAAGGAGAGCAGTCCAGACGGCCGCATCTGAAAGTGCGCGATGCGATGACCGTTTTGGTTCGATGGCTGGCCGTGTTAAACGACTCATCGATGTTTAGCCGTGTTAACGACACAGCGATTCGTCAATTATAAAATCGCCTCCCGCGCCCACGTTCAACACGCATCAAAGTCGCGTGCGTGGGAGTGCGTCATTTGCAATTTATGTAAATGATATTCGAATGTTATGCTAATGTCACACTTAGGCTAATGGAGGGGACAAAACCGAGACAGAACGAACAAAAAATCGATACTAAGGAGATGGTTGGAATGTGACTAAAAACCCCCATGGGTTTCTCGAATCGAAGCGTTGACCCCTAGGCCGTGACGGTTCATCCAATCGCGGGGGGCGACGAGTGACTTGTTATCGCGCCCTGGCGCGCTATCGCGTACAAATCACCGGTTTTAGTAGAATAAAAAAAGTCGCCGCCGATGTACGCTTGCTGGTACGCACGGTTTTTGCGGTGTATAAACGAAACCGGGGGGGGGGGGGGAGCTCCCATAAATCACTGACGTTACCGCATTGCACCGCATACGCGTCCACCGCTCGTCACGATGCTCGGCGACGCTCGCGTGGGTTCATACGGACTCCCGCGGCCTGTTGCGTAACGCAAGCCTTCAAGTGATTCTTACCTCACGCGTGATACCCCATCAGCCGTAAAACAATACTGTACCACTGGGCGGGAGAAAGGATCTGCTCAAGTTCTCCCCCTCTCTCACACCTGCGGTTTTATGGGAATGGCAAGATCGTTAGGCAGATTTTGTATTCAGCAGAGGCTCTTTTGGAATTCATAAGGACGTCGAATAATTATTTTTTTTTAGGTTGGTGAGATGGAATGTCGAGTGTCAACCGACGTGTAGTTTTTGCTGGCATTCACTGGGGGAAAAAATGGCAATGGCGATGGAAATGAACAGGGATTTCTCCATTTTATGCCAAACGTCAGCACGACTCCTCCTCTCTAGCCAGGGAGTGTGGGAAAGTCTGCCTGCCAGAATATAAATTAGGCCCTCTTTAGTCGTACATGAACATTTTTTTTCAGCAAAAGTCCAAACTTATGGTATATTGTTGTTTTGTTTGTGTACGTGTGTTGTTGTTGACGTGGAGCTACGTGCGTGCGTATGGTGAGCGGTAGTGTAGCGGTTCACGTGCCGCGCTATGAACTCCGTCGACCCGGGTTTTAATCCCGCTCATGGCCGACACCGACGACAATTATCTGAACCGGTCCTGCGCCCTCCCCTAGGTCGAATCGGCCTCAGACGAGTACCTGGTGCAGTGCGTAGTAAACATTGCCACTGGGGAGACAAAGGTGGCCGGGCGTGGTTGCTGGTCACCCACCCCTTCGTGTCCCACACAGGTGCTGATACTCGCTAAGACAGCACTTGCCCCAACAGTCTGTTAAAGGCTATCGGGGGGTGGGGGGTATCTTTGTGTGTGTGTGCAATCACTCCGTCTTGCAGGGCCGAGGCACGAAGCACTACCACCTGGTCATCGTGGGCCACTCCCTCGGGGCGGGAACTGCTGCCATCTTGTCCTTCATGCTCCGCCCGCAGTACCCCACGCTCAAGTGCTACGCCTACTCTCCCCCGGGAGGGCTTCTCAGGTGGCAACTCGCAACACTGCGCACGAGACAAAGATCACCCCACCCACTCACCCACCCACCCACCCCGTGTAGCCTTCACAGACTGTTGGGGCAAGTGCTGTTTAGCGAGTAGCTCGCGATGCGGTGTTCGATGTCGAGCCAAAAGCTGCTGCTGCTGCTGCTGCGAGGATGACCAGAGTTGTGGTGATGGTTTGTGCTCCTTGACGAGATCGGAAAAGTATTGCGGTTCATTTGTGGCGTGCACTTGGTGTGTAATGAGTGCGACACCAAGAGACACAGCGGCCTCGAGCGATGAGGGCCGCTGCCCCTGGCGACGTTGTGGGGATGCACGTTGGGATCTGAACTCGGGGAGAGATGTGGACTGGTGGATACAATGTCCGTCGCTTTCCGTAACATTTACAAAAACGAGCAGAGCTGTTGGCAATCATTTTTTTCAGCCTATGGCCCTTCGCAATTATACTTTCCTTTATAATTTTTTCTATATTCATAGATGCTTTCACAAATGACAATGAACGACAGTTGACAATGTGGAAAGGTATTGCGAGGGAGCGAACACAGATGGAACTACTGAGAAAGGTACCAAATACTGGAGAGAGAGAAAGAAAAAAAAACACGTGAAAAATTATTCAACTCGCAGCCAGCAAACACGGTGGCGAACAAGTGTTGCTGAAATCAACTTTCAGTGTAAAAATACCCCAAAACAACCGGAACGTATTGGTAGTGCGCTTTTTCGGGTTCGAATGACTGTGCTGCCAAATGCTGACTGTCCTCACGTGAACCCAGGCTCTCAGTGGCGGGCGGATCAGTGCTCTGAGCCACCCGGCCATCTCTGCCGCCCCCTTTTGTTGTGAAGTGACCTCTTGCAGGGCCGGCTGCTATGGTGATAGCCTGTAAGGAGCACCGTAAGTTCATGCCGGGAAAGTCGATCACGGTCTGAGCAAATACATATTTTTAAATGTATTTGGTTGCCGCGGTGGCAAGATATTAACTACCTCGCCTGGTATGCAGGAGGTCGTGGTTTCGATCCTGACCCTGACGCCTGCTGTATATTTAGAGTCTGCGTGTCTCTTTCCCCGTGGTGGCGTGGATTTTTCTCCGGGACCTCTGGCTTTTCCCTCCACGTTTAGAATCAACATCAGGTGTTGAGAGTACGTGGCTGCTGTAAATTTCCATGTAATGACAGGCCACTTCATTGAGCTATCATTTGTGGCGAGGTCGCTTCTGAAAAAGCGCTATTTAGCTCGGTGAGCCTTACCCTGTATAAAATAAAAAAAATGTTTGTAGTCAGTCCGGTGCCATCGGTGTGTGGGCACAGGGCCTCGCACGGTCGGTATTTGGCGCTGAAATTTTCGGCTGCGCACGGCTTCTCTAGCAGAGGCAACACCGGGGCAGATGAGGCATCGTCTGCCCTTTTGCCAGAGACGGAGTTATTCCTTTGATTTGGCCCGTGGACACAATTAGTGACGTAATTGCGGACAGAAGGGAAACGTACGGATGTACGTTGAGCTTCTCTCGCACCGTACGTCGCCAACCGTGCCAATCGGAGGTGCGAAATAAAGAGGACAACCACCACCATCACGGAAATGGAGTTATGAGATGGTTTGACGTGCAGCCGTGAGATCGGAGTTTGGCATCACAGGGCCATAACGGATGATGATGATGGTAGACGGCGTGGGGGTGCCTTCATACAGCAGCGGATTAATCGAGGCTGATGATAACTCCGTGTTATGCTGGAGAAGGGTCCAGTGAAAGGGGTGTAAGTCACGCTGTGGGGTTTGGGGGGGGGGGGCTCGTTTGGTTTGCGGGGGGGGGCATTAATTATTCAGTACACATACTAAACTTATTTTACCAGGCAATGCCCACAGAGCTATATAGAGTGCTTTTTCAGAAGTGACCTGGCCACGAATGATAGCTCAACAAAGTGGCTTATTATCACCATGTGGATACTTCTAGTGGCCAAATCATCTAAATGCATGTTGATTATGCACATCGAGGGAAAAACCGGAGCGCCCGGAAAAAAAACAATGCAACCACGGGGGCAGAGAGAGAGAGAGACACGCAAACTCCAAATATACATCAGCAAGCGTCAGGGTTGAGATCGACCCCACGACCTCCTGTATACCAGACGAGTTCACATCTCGCCACCGTGGCACCTGTCATCATCATACAGTCATCACAACATCAGCAGCCACAATCCATTCACTGCTGGATGAAAATTATTCCCAATTAATTTCGTCATAATTCCTTGCGATGGCAATGCACAGCCATCGCTAATGGTCTCAACTATTGCTGTAATTTCGATTTAAAGCTTTCGTGACTGCAGGGATTCATATTCTTGGTTCTTTCCGTAAAGTCACGTAGAAAGGATATAATAAAATAAAAAAAATAAAAAATATATAATATTGCTGTAATGATGAAGGATAGAGCTCGAATCGCCATAACGACACGGCATGGGGGCAGCCTTCATCCAGCATGCAATTGGCAAAGGACTCGAATAAGTTATTACAAATATTATATTGCCTATGAATCTCCTAATTAAATGGAGGCTCCATTAACAGAATAACTGTATCGGCTTCTTGCGTAATTTTTTTGCAGCCGCTTGAAATCCAAATGAACAAGCTTGTCAGCTTGTTTTGCGCCACGGTGGCGAGATATTAACTACCTCGCTTGATCCTGACCCTGATGCCTGCTGCATATTTGGAGTTTGCGTGTCTCACTCTCCCCGTGGTCGGCTAGATTTTTTTCCTCTGGGTCCTGCGGTTTTTCTCTCCACGTTTATAATCGACTTCACGCGTTTACAGTGTTTGGCTGCTTTACACTTTCACACGATAAGCCACTTCGCTGAGCTATCATTTGTGATGGCCAGGCCACTTCTGAATAAGGGCTTTACAGTTCGGTAGGGCGTCAACTGGTAAAATAGAAATATTCCGCCCGGACAGTCACGGCGTTTGAATAGTTAAAAAAACATATATATATTTTTTATAGTTTGCTTGATGAATAGCCTCCCGCGGTGCTTCGCTGTGCGGGAGCCTTCCCGTCGTGCAGACCATCGAGCTGCTCTCCGCTTGTCAGTGCGATGAACGTGTGGCTTCGTGTCGCTGCTCTGTTTCAGCGAGTTTAACACGCAGGAGGCTTTCGCGACCAATATCGTCCACAACGGAGGTTTTTTTGGGTTAGATCGTGTAAATATATAAATGTGTCGTTAAACCCGCCACCACCCGACACAGCCAATTAGTGAGGTTTGTCACGTAAACAGAACCGTGGCCAATTCGTTACTAGTACAGCAACACCGGTGTGTTGGAGAGCCAAGCCACAACATTTACAATCCGAATACGACGTTTTGCCAGTAATTACAACCAGCTTCATCAGGCGACAGCCAGATTTGTGGAGAAATCCTCCTGTCTCGTTCCTTAAATAGAGGGGGAGATGTGATGACGTCACTTGTGAGCCCTTCTTGTGCGAAGTACGGTGGGGGGGGGGGGTATTAATGAATGCATATAAATGAATATGGATATCTATTGCCGTTCGGGTTATTTATATGGTAATCAACGTTCATTATGCATGCGCATTATGCAAGCCAAATGTTCTTGTACTTCCCGTCGATTGTGCGTATTTTTCACTTTCAGTGAAGCAGCGATGGAGGAGTCCAAGACCTTCGTCACGTCCGTCATTCTGGGAAAAGATCTGGTCCCGAGGTGAGCCCACGCGCCGCGCACCACACGCACGGCGGTACTGGCGGTGGAACTCCTCCCTTGCCGCCCGCACCAATGTCACCTCGGGTGGGGGCCGGGGGGGGGGGGGAGGGTCAAAACCCAAATTCTCCGGGCGAATCAATTCCACGAAGGAAATTGTGTTTCCCCTGAAACCGTACAAACGACGATATCAATTTATCCATTTAAGCGGCGCATTGCACGGTTTTTAACACCGTCCGATAAAATGGCGTGGCGGTTCGCTTAATCGGTTTCTCACTGCATGGTTTCAACGCTTATAAGGGCCATCGCTGAACATTAACCTGGCCCCAAAGAAAGGCATTCCACGGGCTATCTCGTTGGGCAAAGGTCTGTGGCGGGTGAATGAAAGAAAAAAACAACACCTCAGGAAATGGATTGACACGCCAAGATGATGTTAAATCATCCACACATTGGATCTTTTATTTTTTCCCGGGTTAAATAATAAAACATGCAATGGTGACGATGCCTTCCAAGCGGTGATAACTAGTGGCTGGAAATGGGCCGATATATACGGCAGTAAGCCAGTGCGGCACTTCTTGGAACACCAAACACGTATCAGGCCCCGTGGTGTAAAATGCATAAGGATATCCAATCCATATCCATGGCCTCTGTGTGTGTGTTACGAAGATGAGCGAGCTATTGCCCAAAACATCACCTATTATATACACTTTCCTGTCAAGGCCATGGTGTTATTGACACATGCGTTGGGGTCGTTTGCTATTTAAACATGCATACCACTGGCACTGTTTCAGAACAGTTCCTATTCCTACGCTGCGACGTTTTCGTACGGAGGGGAAACGGCAGTGAACTTGCGTTTGTGGCTCCTCTGCATCCTAAATTAAACCTCAACCCACATACGATCACCGCAAACAGCTGACCACTTGGCTCGATAAGGCCAACGTTTAGAGGCTTGCGGTATTCGGGCACTGTTGTAGATAAAATTGTCCGGTTGTCTGTCCGTCTCTCTGAGTGGTTCACAATGGCCGTGTCGGAGACGCTCAGGCTGGCACTGCTGAGATCTTACATGAACAGTCCTGCGTCTGGGTGGCTGCGTCTCTCTCTCTCTCTCTGTGGTTCGTAATGGCCACGTCAGAGATGCTGAGGCCGCGCAAGACGAACATCTTACATCGCTTTCGGAAAACGCTCAGCCCGCCGTGGACAAATTAATGGCCCCGTGCATACCACTGTATGCATCAATGTCCGTTTCCATGGCGATGCTCGGGGTTGTAAAAGAGAGAGCGCGTGGGGATTTCAATGACAGCGCGTGTGCTTAAAGCATCGAGCCGGAGAGAGAGAGAGCGCCTCCCCGCTCCGACGATCACCGGAGTGTCGCCATCCACGTGACCTTTCACCCCGGCGTCCCTTTGCCCCCACCGCCGCTTCGCAGTGGCGGGGAAAAGCGCCGCAAACCCCCCCCCCCCCACACACACACCCCCGTGGGACTCTTCCTGGCGGGAAGCGGCCGGCTCGATGCCTCAATAACAAACGCCACGAGAGAACGGGGGTCTGCTTCAGTGGTGGATATAAGGGGGGGGGGGGGGGGTAGGGGGTGGGGAAAGGGGGGGGGGTAAGTGTGTGCCCCCCACCCCCCACCCCAATTGTATGGAAGTATATTTATCAGCGGAAATACATTGCGTATTCTTTGTTCTATAAATGTATTAATGTAAGGTCGTATTTCAAAAAGCTTTTGTATTTCGGGACGTTCGTGGCAATGGCCCTCCAATTGCGCGCGGTTGGCTATGTATGGTGCGAAAGAAGTTCGACGTACGTGCATACGTACAAGGCCAAAGAGGGGTATAGGGGATGAGAGTTGGAGACTTGTGCAGCGCGGGGCGTGACAACAGCAGAGGGGAGAGTTTGACGATGGACTTCAGCGGGTTGCGACGTCGTGCTCCCAACTGGCATTGGGACAGCGCAGGTATCTTTTTGGTGATCACAAGCTCCCTGCCCATAGACTCGGCACTGCCCAGAGACTCAACACTGCCCATAGACTCAACACTGCCCCATAGACTCAACACTGCCCATAGACTCAACACCGCCCATAGACTGAACACTGCCCATAGACTCAACACAGTTAATATACTCAACATTGCCCATAGATTCAATACTGAGACCCATAGACTCAGCGCTGCCCATAGATTCAATACTGAGACTCATAGACTCAGCGCTGCCCATAGATTCAACACTGAGACCCATAGACTCAGCGCTGCCCGTAGACTCAGCACTGGGAGGGAACCAGTCTCTCCGGTGGATGGCTGTTGTCGTGGAGAGTCTTATTGTAACTAAAACCCACGTGACGAAGGGGAGAGAGACACCGCAAACTCCAAATATATAAATCGAGGCTGATGATTAATCCCTGTTATGCTGGAGATGGGTCCAGTGAAAGGGGTGTGAGTCACACTGTGGAGGTTGGGGGTGGGGCTCGGATGGGGGGGGGGGGGAAATTAATGATTCAATACAAATATTAAACTTTTAATACTAAACTTATTTATTTTACCAGGTAAGGCCCACTGAGCTATATAGCGACCTGGCTATCACAAATGACAGCTCAACGAAGTGGCTCATTTATAGCAGCCATATCATCTGAACGCACGCTGATTCTCAATGTGGAGGGAAAAACCGGAGGACCCGGAGACAATTCCACGTGGCCACGGGGGAGAGAGAGACACGCGCAAACTCTGAAACATACATAAGCCACCGTGGCTTCCAAGAGTTCAGGGGCGAGAGTGCTGGGTTTACGTTTGAGAGTTGCTCCGTGCCTCGCCCGCTCTGAGCTCCCCGCCGCGACGATGAAATGCCGGCCTTGTTGCGTGCACGCCGTGCAACTAGGCGGGGAGCCGGGTGTGATGAATAAACAGCTCCTTCAGGTTGACAGAAACTCGCTTGGAAATGTAATTTCTTATGAAACAGAACCCAGGGTGTGTAAACTTTAATATTTATTTTATAAACGTAGATTGATTTCAGGGAGTTAATAATGGATTGGTTTGAGTGATGTTTCATACCTGTGGGGAGCACTAAAGAGAGCTGTGTGTGTGTGTGTATGCATCGTGGGAAGCGCTAGTGTATCGGTTAGCACGTCGCGCTACGAACCCGGGTTCGATTCCTGCTCACAGCCAACACCAGTGACGATTATTTGAACTGGACCTGGGCCTCCACCCTCGGTAGACTCGGCCTACCGAGGGTAGGCCACTAGGGAAATATAGGCGGCCGGACGTGGTGCTGGCCACACACCCCCTCGTGTGCCGTGCTGGCCTTCATAGGTGCTCGCGAACAGCACTTGCTCCAACATTCGGTTGAAGGCTTTACGGGGTATCTTTGTCTTTGTGATATATATGCATATGGAAGCTGCGTAAAGAAGTAACAGAATATAACTCTTAAGGTATCTGAATGCAGCACGCTGGCGGTAATGTCAACTTCCTCGCCTGATATGCAGGAGGTCGTGGGTTCGATCCCGACCCTGATGTGTATATTTGGAGTTTGCATGTCTCTCTCTCCATGGTCGTGTGGATTTTTCTCCGGGTCCTCCGGTTTCCCCCCCCCCCCCCCCACATTTAGAACCAACGTCACGCGTTTAGAGTATTTGGTTACTGCTGTACATTTTCCACGTGATAAGCCACTTCCTCGAGCTATAATTTATGATAGCCGGGTCACTTCTGAAAAAGAGCTACATAGCTCGGTGGCCCCTTCACCTGGTCAAATAATAAATAGTTTAATATTAAAAAATGTCAGAGCATGGGGATGAAATGGGGAAGAGGTGAAATGAGGAGGCTGATGCAAGCGACTGGGTGATTGAGCCATGGGATCGTCGAGGCTTTGAGGCTTGGCACTGACGGAGTGCGGCAAAGGGGGCTGCTGATTTATTAACTCCACCCTGACGTGGACGCCAGACTGCCGAGCCATCCGTTTGTCATCTTTATCACAGTAACAATGTGCACCAAAGACAAAGCTCCCCCATATAGCCTTAACAGACCGTAGAGGCAAGTGCTGTTAGCGAGCGCCTATAAAGCCCGGCACGGCACACGAGCGGGTGGGTGCCCAGCACCACGCCCGCCCGCCTTTGTCTCCCCAATGGCGATGTTTACGCACCTTACCAGGTACTGTTTTGTTGCTGAGTCGACCTAGGGGAAGGCCCAGGACCGGTTCAGATAATCGTCTCTGGGTGTTGGCCGTGAGCGGGAATCGAACCCGGGTCACCAGGTTCGTAGCGCAGCGCTAACCGCTACACCACGGCTCCCCTATGTGCACCACTCGCACCACTCGCACCATCACAGAACGGGGTGCCGACGCAGTGTCTGTGCTGTGCTTTGACAGGATTGGGCTGCCCCAGCTTGAGACGTTTCGGAGGCAGCTGTTGGACGTGCTGACGAGGACCAACAGGCCGAAGGTACTCAAAATCGTCGCCCGAAGCAGCGCTCACGGGCCTGGTGACGCTCATTTGGGCCCCCCCCCCCCCCCCCCCGAAGGGGTGAATAGGCCGGGCCGACCACGGCCAGGGATTGAACCTCAGCCCCCCTATCCTTTCCTGTGATTGACTTCAGCCGTCGTCGATCCGAAGGTTGGCCGCACCCTAGGCAATCCTTCGCCACTGACTTCTGTCTTCTGCCATCCTCACTGTCTGTTCCAGCGCGAGCCTAATCTTCCTCGCGCACGTGAAACGGGCATTGTGCCCTGCATAATCCGCTTTTCCAAACAAGTTCCATTTGTGTATTCGCATTGGTTTTTTTTTATTTGCTAAGTAGTGGGGATTTGTTTGGGCTTTTTTTTCTGTACGGAACTGGATAAATCGATGTGCGGCGGCGTGGGATGCAATTGAATGAATGACGCTATAGAAAATGAAATTATATGTATTTTTTATTTCTCATGAGATGACCATAGTATGCTAAGCTTTCTTGATTTCATCACCTCTTAACAGTTCTCTTTCAACACCCGCTTTCTCCAGAACCCGTTCATTTGTTTTCTTTTCAGTCCACGATACACGCAGTATCCGTCTATCCATCGTCAGCAATCATAAACCCATTGAACTGTCTGTACGTACGTACGTACGTATGCGCGAGGTCCTCCTCGCCCCCCCCCCCCCCCCCCCCCCCCACTCTGCCACCGTGCCTCGCAGTTTTCGCGACGTTCACTTGGACTCTCTGCGCCGCAGTCTAAATAAGTCCACGTTTACTTCTGAATTCAAATCGAAGGTGCCCTTTCTGTGCCTGCTCACACACACACTGCCAGACGAGTACAGCGAGCAAAGTAAAGCCACGACGAGGGTGTGCAGCTGAACCTCCACCGTTGGGCCGCTGTGTCCCGCGCACACTGTGGGTGGCTGGGCGCGTCGGCGAATCCTCATCGTAGAGATGAAGAGCCCCAGTTGCGGGCTTTATTCTCCAACGCACAACCGGAGTAGGAACCAATTCGCGCGTTTCGTTTACGCGACGCAACCTCACTCATTGGCTGCGTCGGGTGGTGGCGGGTTTAACGACACATTTATATTCACGCGATCTAATGCAAGGAACATTTTTTTTGTTTGTTGTGTGTGCTCGTATAGTGCAGCTGGCACTGCATGCGAAAGGCCGCGTTGCAACACGCGCGCTAAAGGCGTTAACCACTGGCAACGCGTGGATTTCCTCAAAATCCCCCCCTCCCCCCCCCGCCACCATCCCGTCGATGATGCCATGAATTTGTCACGAATCGGGGTGACGATTTTCATTCACGAATCGATCCTGTTCTGGTCTGCGGTGCACGCATCATCTCGAGTGGAATGCGGAGTTTGCTTCGGATGCATGCGGACGGAAAGCGTGACATATCGCTGTGCGGCGAGTGCGATTCGATGCAGCCCTCTCGCGAGCGTAAGAATCAATTCTAATCAACGAATTGATGCATCGTTTAATGCCTCCAAAGCACTTGTACATAATTTATTTTGATAAAAGAAACAAACCCCCCCCCCCCCCCCCCTGTATTCAATCACAGTATAGTGGTAGCGAGGAAAGAGACTTATTCCATTAGTTGATATGATCTGGAGGGCATTAGAGCAAACGGCCCTTATGCCCAAGATATACATTTTTAAACATTGTGCTCGAAGCCATTGTAGCAGGGCTGCGAGAGAGAGAGAGACAGAGAGTGGCTTGCAGCGCGGGGATATCACTGCGCCGTGCTGCAACATCGGCAAATGCAGCTGCTCGTAGCTGAAACAAAACGAAACTGATCAAGTTTATAAGAATATATTAATTGTGTGTATCCGCACGAGAGGTTTTTGGGTTAGATGACGTAAACATAAATGTGTCGTTAAACCCGCCACCATCCGACACAGCCAATTAGTAAGGTTTGACACGCAAACAATGCATGCAAATGCATTACTACCGTAGTGTAGTGACATAGAATTGGTCAATAAGTAACATAGCGCTGGCTGCTGGCAGGGAAGGGGATCTGCAGCTTGAACCAGCCCTGACTGACAGCGTTCCAGTGGCATCCGAATATCGGAAGGAAGAGCGTTCCAGACAGCCACAGAAAAGTCAACATACATGCATACAATCCACAGAATAAGGAAATAACAGCAGCGCACCGTGCCAGCTATGGAAACATTTCACTGGCTTCCAGCGAAAGGAGGCATCATTTTCAATGTCTTGATGTTGGCATGCAAGGCAATTCTGATTGATGGACATGCCCTTTTCTCGCCTCGTGAAACACACGACCGAGTCAGAACCATCTCGGGCTCTACGATCGGCGGGCTCCCATCTCCTGGCAGTCTCGCCGAGCCGTCTGGCTGGTGCTGTTGTCAAACCTTTTGTAAAAAAAAAAAAATAGCTCCTAACACTGTAGATCCTCCTCCTCGTCCTCATCATCCCCCCTCCTCCTTCGGCGATGTCTGAGCGATGTCTGTGCGGTCGACGACAGGGAACCATCGCCATGGAGAATTCGCGTTTTGACATTTCGTGAAGATGCGAATCGGGCCCCCTCGCATATACAGTGAGAATTTCTGCTACGTTCGGAGACGTTAAGAAAAGGGCTCGCCGATCTCGTGCAAAGGTCTCTTTGTCCTCTAAGGCATCGTCCCGGGATTGTCATGGCAGCTGCTTCTGTCACTACGGCTTTCCCGTTCCGCACAACGAGCCGCTTAGCTGCGGGAGATTGCATTAGCAGTAACATTTCTGGGATAGGGGCTCACGCGTAAGTTAGAGTTACTGTAAATATATCTCCGTGGTTTACGCGTTTCAGACTTTCACTGTGCAGCTTTCCCGGGTGCTGCCTTGCGCGCCTCACACATGGCATGCCACGGGTAAAGCTGCCAAGGAGCGTCTTGGCTTCGCAGCCCTCGTGTGGAACTCTCATCTCGGGCGGGATATCACAGCCGCTCTGCAGATTTGTTCATCAATTACCTAGCGTTGACGTCATCAGTAGTCGTGCGCACGTAGTCGTCACATGTTGGCCAGGGTTTTGTACATCTTCTGGGCGCTGCGAATGAGAGATTGAATAACAAGTGCTCTGACCCCTGCGGACAACAGGGTTCACGGGTATCGGGATAGCACCCTAGAGGATTACGTCACCTCCGATTATCACGGAATTGGCTACGTACGGCGCGAAATAAGTTCCAACATACGTACGTACAGAGGAGTGGCAGCTGTTACGTCAAGCACTCCCTTGCTTTGCCGAGTCGAGTCTCCTCCTTCGGCAATCACTCGCATGTCGGGGGAATTATCGTTTTCCAACAACATCATCATCATCATCATCGTCATCACCGACCTCCTGCCCGTGGATCCGACGATGGGCCCGGTGAGGCCAACGGTCCGCGATCGACAGACTCCCGCCGCCGCTGCTCGCGCGCCGCGTGCGTCCGAGCGGGACGCATGGCCCTCATGGTGGGCCATTGCGGCTTGGTCTGTGGCGGCACAGCTGCGTCTGCCGCTCATACTTTAAACTTTTTTTTTCCCCCTTCTTTTTTTCCCCCCGTCTTTCTTTCCCCTGTTGTCATTGTCGGGTTTCGAAGGGCTGGGCGCCAAGTGCCGGAGTCGTTAACAAAAAAACACATTGCTACCACGTGGCCGCGATCCTAACCAAGCCCTCGTTGTATGCGCGTGCGTTGAACTTCTATCGCACCGTACGTAACTAACCGTGCTAATCGGAGGTACGTTCCTTCCTTTCCCCCCCCTCCCCCCGCGCGCGCGCCCCACAGTGGAGGATCATCGTGGGGGGCACCAAATGCCTGCGGAAGTCGGAGCTCCTCTCCGAGGCGGAGGCGAACCACATGGTGAACAACAAGCTGGGCAGCTTCCACAGCGACATGTCGCTCACGCCGTGCTCCTCCATCCCGCTGTACCCGCCGGGGAACATCGTTCACGTGGTGCACAACCACCCGCCTGACACCTGGTACGCCAACCCGAAATGTGAAACGTGAGATGGTACAGCTCGGACTGGAGGCCAGCCCTGCAATGATAATTATGCTACTTAAAAAAATATATACATCCCGTTTTATTTACTTTTCCCAACTACAATACGCTTTTAAAGTTGCTGTCTTTGCTGCTGCTGTTGAAGTTTCTGTCAATGTTAATATTCTTGCTGCTGCTGATATGGAGTGGTGAGATGTTAACTCCCTCGCATGGTATACAGGAGGTTGTGGAGGGCGCGGGAATCCACCCCTTGTCGCCCCCCCCTCCCTTCCCCCCGCCTCCCCACCCTCGCTAACAGCACGTGCCCCCAACATCTTTGTCACTGTCCACCGGTTGGTGCAGCTGCTGGAAACAGGAGGAGCCCACGTACCACGCGCTGTGGGCTGACAACAAGAGTTTCCACGAGGTGGTGATCTCCCCGGCCATGCTGCACGAGCACCTGGCCCACGTGGTCATGGACGGCATGCACAAGGTAACGCGGCCGCTACGCCAGGGCCCGCGCGTTCGCTCGCTCGGTTGCTACCGCGCTCCTTTCGCAAACGGGCGTTCCAGGGCGGTGGCGCAGCGGTAACGCTTTGGTGCTGTCGCGGCAAGACGGGGCGGGGGAGGGCGGTGAGTTTCGGGCTCCATTCCGACGAGATCGGCGTTCACCGCACGCGGTTGTTTCCGCCGGCACAACCAGGTGCTGGAGAACTACAACAAGGGCAAGACGGCGCTGCTGGGAGCCGCCAAGATCATGGTCAGCCCCACCATGGACCTGGACCCCAATGCCTGCCTCGTGCAGAACAACACGGAGCGCAAGAGCGATCTCAGCCTCAGGTAAACGCGCGCCGCTTCGTGTGTTGTACGTACGTTGCAATTCTTTCGCGTCGTACGTAGCCAACTGTGCCGATCGGAGGAGCGGGGGAAGGACAACAAAACTATGGGTCGCTGTGTGAGTCTGTGTATGTGTAGTGTCAACGATTCAGAGACAGAGTTTCTAGGAGGCACTTTCTTCGTGAACAACTTTCACGGTCTCGTCCACACACTCTCCGCAGTAGCTCAGCCTAGCCTGTGCACTACACTAGCCGTCTAATACTGACGGCGCCGACTGAGATAGCCAACTGCTATCCTTAGTGGCGCAATATCTAGCGGAGACTTTAAGCGACGAGACGACGGCAACGACGAGAGGAGTCCACTCCCAGTAACGGCAGCCTCGAGCTCCCCGCTCTCGGCTCCTTTTATGCTCGCAGCGCGGCCTGGCTCCGCCCTGACCGCGCCCTTCTTCTCGAACCCGCTAGCAGGTTCCAGAGGCCTAAAGATGGGGTCCTCCGTGACCCTTTCCGTGCCCACACCCTCACTGGCGTGTGTGTACTGTCTGGCCACCACAGCTGCCGCTGCTGGCCACCAGCCGGCGCTGTCACACTACACACGTACGTACGTTGAACTTATTTCGCACCACCGTACGTAGCCAACCGTGCTGATCGGAGGTACGGGGGAAGGACAGCGAGAGAGGTTGGAGCGCAGCTTCCAGTGGGGCGACAGTATTGCCCCCATCACCTAGAGATCAACGCTGAGGTTGTGGATAAACCTTGATACATATCAAATAGCCGGCCAGGTGACTCAGCGGGAGAGTGAGCGGCTCTCAATCAGAAGATTGTGAGTTCATATCCCACGTAGGGGGGGGAGGGTGGTTTCAGCCCCATCATCCCCCCGGGAATCGATTAAATATACGCGTCATTTTGTGGTGGACATTTATCCTGTGGATAAACTCGTGCCGACCACGGAATTTTCCACCTCTGTCTGCTCAGGGCTATAGACAGAAGATGAGCTGCGCCTCAATGCTCCGATTAGCACGGTCGCATCTCCGATTGCCACGGTTTGGCTACGTACGGCGTGAAAGAAGTTCAGCCATACGTACGTGCACTGCCCATTCTGGCAGGAAATCACTGAGTTTTCACGTATTATTTTTTTAGACGTGTTTTTATTATTGCTACGCCAAACGCAGTGGCGAGGATAACGACGGTCGACCCGCGACGGTTACGTCCACGCGCTCCGCTCCGCCCTGCAGGAGCAACAAGGAGTCGGAGCTGTCGTGGGAGTACACGCACCCGGCGGAGCGCGAGGTGGGATCGGGCCGCGCCGCCGCCGCCGCCGCCGTCGACCAGCTGCTGAGGGACACGCGCGAGCAGCTCGTCGCGGAGCTCAACGAGCGGCGGGCGCCGCTCGCCACCGTCGAGAGCCTCTCGGACAACGACTCCATCGGCAGCTTCGACTCGCGGCGCTCCTCCGGCTTCCGCAGCGTGCGCAGCTCGCCGAGCCTGCGCGTGGTGATGGAGCGCGACGAGCCGCCCTGCTACTACGTGGACCCCGTGATCCCCGAGGAGAACCCCTCGCTGAGCTCGCGCAGCGAGGCCGCGCCCCACGACGCCGCGTCGAGAAAGTCTCCGGAGGCCCCGGGGGGCGACGACGACGACGACGAGGATGGCGGCGGCGGGGGCACGGGCGCGGCGAGGGACTCGTCCGACGGCGGCAACCGGCGGCGGCCGGCGCCGGTCAACGTGCAGCCCCCCAAGGGGGGCGGCGTGGAGGCGCTGAAAGGGGACCTGGTGAGCGGCCTCGCGAACGAAAACGGCAAGGTGAACTGCGCGCCGTGCTCGCGCAGCAGCGAGCGAGTGTGCGTGCCCAGCCCGGACGTGCGGCAGTTCTCGGATTTTATCGACAGCGTGTTCAACTTGGACAACCGCAGCAGCTCCTTCCAGGACACGTACCGACTGGCGTTCGAGGACAGCTTGGACGAGCTGAAGGAAATGGTGAAGTCCGTGAGCGAGCGGGAGATAAGCGAATGCGGCAAGGTCAAAACGAAGAGCGCCGGCAGCCAGGCGGCCTCCTCGGAGGCCATAACGACGTCGGGCATCTCCGTGTCACAGTCCGGCCCGATGAGCCCCTCCAGCGAGGCCTGCACGACGAGCTCCACGCTTTTGGCAAGCCACGAGCAGCTCATCGCCACCAAACCGGGAAACTGTCACCGGGACAGTGAGCCGGTAGACTGCTACGTCTCCACCATCTAGAGGTCCTCTTGGCGTTTTTCACTCCCTCACCGCAAGTGTAAACGGAGCGAGCCAAGTCGGGAAAATAAACCGCCGTGGAAATGGATAGCCCCGGAGACTTAGCGAAATTGGCGAATAGGGCCCTGGAGGGGGGCGGTTCATAGTCTTTGGCTAAACTCAGACATACATTGTCTGGTGTTCGTGTAGGCGGTGTAGACGTGCCCCGGGTATTGTGGGGCGTGCGCTTTAAACAAAAGCGGAGGTGCTCGGCTTTGACCCGAAGCTTCGTTGAGACAAGGCGCGAAGTCGCCGCTCGGCTCGAGCTGGGAGTCGTGCAAAGCGTGGCGCCGTAATGCGATCTTGATTGGGTGAGCGTCTGCATCCCGAGCGTGCGGCCGAGCCTCGACTTGACCCTTTTGCAGCCTTTGGACACAGAATTGAAATGCATTTTCGTTCGGGATGGGTTTGCACTCTTTGTCTCTTTTTGTTTTGTTTTTGTACCACTTTGTGGAACTTGCCACTGTGGTGGGGTTATGCCCCGAGCTTCTTGGGTGCTGAGGGAAAGTGGACCTCTGCGAAGTACCACCGCATTGGTGGAACTTAAGTGGGAAAATTTATCGCAAACACAATGTCGGTGACAGTGGAACCAAACCGAGGAAAGGAAAGGGTTAACATCACAATTGCATGCACGCATGTCTTGTACATACTATATCCTCTATGCACTGACAAACGTAATTTAATTCAGCGAAATCACGACACCGGCACTTTTAAAAAGTCACGTTAAACAAAAAAAAAACGTTTAAGTATCCTCCCTTGCAAATAAAGATTCCCCCAGCCCCATTAACTGGACAAAAATGTATTGAGGCCAAGACGAAATTTCATATGCTGAAATATTCCGGCTGTTTTTTTTTTCACGACCCAATGTACATGTACGCATCACTCCTGTTAATATGTGGGGGGGGGGGGGGGGGGGAGTAGCTTATCAGCGATGTATGTTATCTGCACATCAGCTCTTCCTTTTATCCATTACTTCTTGGGATTTGAGTAACACTGCGGAGCGCATTTGATCTTTCCTGCGATATCCTGGAGGCGTTGAGGCAACCGCTTTGTCTCGTCCACAGCAATCTGTGGGATGACACCACTGTGTCGCCCTCAAGAGCCGTTGTCCATTGTACGCAGACGCACCCATTACACCAGGTCCATTGGCTTCACCACGGATGAGTGGGTCTTCTCGGACAATGCTCATCTCGTCCTTGTTATGGACAAGGTGAATCTCCATGCAGTGCTCTCAGGTAATATCGGAGCCCAACGGAAGTCCACGATCGCCGGCGTCTTTGGGAAAGGACGCGGCTCTTGGAGAGACAGACTAACATCGTCCCCGAGGCTAACATTGCCCATAGACTAATAAGTTATTGAGTAATATTGTGACCAGATAACATGAGTTGGCAGGGCGGGGGGGGGGGGGGTGACGGTGAGGCTGGCACTTAAAATGGCGAGAGACAAAAAAAAATCCTGGTTGCAATTTGCATCTCTTCTCATCTTATTCCGGCGGCTAGAAAAAACACACCAACAACAACAACAACAAAAATATTCCCGTTATGCTCTTACGTTTTTTTTTTAATCCCTGTAACCATTGATTACCGTCGAAAAAAACCCTCTTGGTACGGGCGACCCGAGATGTGAAAAACAACTCGGCGTGACTTTTGGGCCTCACAGACACACACACACACGCTGCGTAGACATATCTATCATGGCCCATTTGCCAAATCCACGGCTGGATGAAGGCCCTCCCACGCCAAGTTGGTCGCGGTCGCTTGACCGCACTTCACCCGCGCTGTCTAGTGCCGGTTGCGGATGGAAGGGGTTGGGTGTGTGCGCGCGCGCGCAAGGCTCCACCAGTTCACATAATGACTTGCCACCCACGTCAGCCATTAGCTGGGAATCGAACTCGGCCGACCGGAACACACCACGGCGCGGAAAAAGTTCAACGTGCATACACGACGTACTGTTGTAACCGATTCCCTAAGGCCACCTCGAATCCGGGGTGTCCGACTCATTTCACCTCCACCGGCACTGCCTCGGGATGTTGCTGGATTCCAGGCTGCAGCACACGCCGCCTGATTTGACGACGGAGGTTGGAGAGAAAGCGCACTTGGTCACGACCCGCTCGCATGTTGTCCTGCGATTGAGAGGATTCTCATCGACGAAAAGGGATGTTAGCGTGCATAGCCATCCTTCAGACTGCACCTTATTTATATATGTGTATAAGTTGCAGTGAATGGTCACGCCTCTTAAGTTGCTCGATGGGGGTGACGTGAACCCAATTGCGTACACCACAGAGCATTCGAACGTTTTGGCGGTTACACAGGTGCACGGTATTTTCACGCAATTCCGCAACCCCGGCCAGAAAATCTTGCGGGGCGGGGGCGCGTCGCAAACGGAAATGTCAGTGAAACAAATTTGATTGTAGACTCTTTTATGAGGACCAGTCTGCTATGCTGCACCGGTGTACCGCCAATGCGTCCATGTACGTTGTGGTGCACGCATAAGACGATTACTCAAAAGGGTCGAAACTGGTGCATTCGTGTCCTATCTATAAACTATTTAAAAACTATTTTTAATTTTTCCAGGTAAGGCCCACTGAGCTTTATAGCACTTTTTCAGAAGCGACCTGGCCACAAATGATAGCTCAACGAAGTTGGCTTATCGCGTGGAAATTAAGAGCAGCCGAATACTGTAAACGCGTGATGTTGATTCTAAATGTGGAGGGAAAAACCAGAGCACTCGGAAAACAAATCCATGCGACCACGGGAAGAGAGACACGCAAACTCCAAATATACACCAGCAGGCGTCAGGGTGGCGATCGAACCCACGACCTCCTCCGTGCCAGGCGAGGGAGTTAACATCTGCTGCACTTTGCTACTTGATGCTGCTATATATTAGTCTGTGCTCTGCTGGGCAGATGGGCATGTAAGGCAGTCGCCCTCCCCCCAACCGCCCCCCTCCCCCCCGCTAAATGGTCAGTTCCCCCCCCCAAAGCCGGCCCCCCTCTCCTTCAAAATTCTTAGTACGAAGTTCAATGGTGTTCGTGCAATGTTAAACATCATTGGCGTTTGTTGTTGTTGTTGTTCAGCGTCTCCTCTTGCGCGTCGTCGGGAGTGCGAGCGAGAGCGGAATGCGCCGTAGACAAAAGTAGATCATATCGTCGGTTAGTCTGTCCGGCGCCCCTGAGTTTTGGAATGGTCCCTTCTTTTACATAATGTTCACACTGCAGGGCTAATGCACGCTATTGCAGGTTATACTCCCACGACTGGTTGTAGTAGGAGAATCTGCAAGGCATTGTGGATTTGGTGGCAATGATTCTGTGCAGCCTAAAATCACAACTTTTTATTTTTTAACATTCTTGTCGTCGTCCTTCCGACGCGCCTCCGATTAGCACGGTTGGCTACGTACGGTGGTGCGAAAGAGGTTCAACGTACAGACGTGCAAAGCCTCACTGAGTCAGGAGGGTCCTGCCAAGTTTGTCGCAGTAGGGGCCGGGGGGCCGGGGGGGGCGGGTGGCGATGTTGCTACGTGCGTGATCCCCATTGAGTAATTTGCGGATAATTTTTTCGCATCGGAAATTGTTTTTCTTGGCCAACATCAGTTGTGGTGTACGTTTTGTTTAGCTACGGGAGAGAAAAACCTGAGAAGCTCGATTTTGTCGTTACTAATTTTGAATGAAGCAGCCAGAGGGGGGGCGGGGCGGGAGCAGGGGGGGGGGGTGACCGTAGTGGAGATGGGCGAGCGCTGTGGGCAGGGGTTAAAGTGCGTAGATGCGCGCTTCAAAAACTATGCGTCGAGTTACCCATTTCTGCCGATGGGTTGGAAAAACTTGCGCGCGCGCGTGCGTGCACACCCAACCGTAGAGAGTATTTCCAGCTCGGGATGAAATATTGAATCGACCGCAAATGTCTAAATTATGTAAGTGGAATTTATTCAAGACTCGCTTGTGTATATATATATATTTTTTAAATCCGCAAGAGACAGCCGCACGCGCTATCTCTCTACGTACGCACACATCCATCCACATTTGATGTAAAATGTCACTGTTATGTAATTGCGCTCAACTCGCATCAGACTCCTACAGCGGTCGCGCTCCAGCCTGCTTTATGCAAATATAAACGCGTATGTCAACCGTGTTTATGCTGCGAAAATTCGAAACCCCCCCCCCCCCCTGCGGTGCGTCATACAAGTGAGGTGGGGGAAAAAAAACACCGCGTCGTTTTGAACGGGGGTGGGATGAAATGTTACACGTATTCATGCGAGTGTTTTTTTGTTTTGTTTGTTTTGAATCTCTTTAAATTGTCGCGTCATTTTTGTCATTCGTTGGGAGAGTCGCGTAACGTCGGTGCACCCAGTGGCGGATTAAGCTAGTTGCGGGGCCTGTAGCATGATGTTATAAAGGGGCCCTAAATTAAAAAAAAAAACACGTAAATATTCAAACACAATTTTTTTATTTTGTTACTTGCGTAGTAAGGTAATTGTATTTTTTCATTTGCTATACAGCCCAGATAATACGACAAATAGCAAACCTTAAACACCCAGTCGTTCATCGAAGTTGAAGGCGGTATAGTACCATGGTAATAGAGCAAGTGCAAAATCACTGAACCGGAATTGACAGCTTGAAAGCATTTAGAGCAGGGCCCTTGAAAGTGCGGGGCCCGTAGCATATGGTACTATTGCTACTCGGATAATTCGGCAGTGGGTGCACCACTGCTCGTCAAATCAGTCATCCTAACCCTTTATCCCCTCCCAACAGCGAGAGGCAGTCTCGCAAAGTCATCGCAACCGTGTGACCTCGTTGATGGAAACAATAATAATTCCCAGTTGCGATTAATTGGTGTTTTGGCTCTGTCGATATTTGTCGATCTTTGGCGGGTCCGCATATAATAGTGCGCATTGTAGATTCAACCGACTCCTGCAGCAAACAGAATTTCTAGATTATATTCTATGCTTGCACACGATAGCAGCAGCAGTACGGTTCAGGAGGTCTGCTGCTGGCCACGACGAGAGGGCTTCAGCAGAGAGATAAAGAGAGTACGCGTCTCGATTCAAAGCTTTCGTGACTGCAGGGATTCATGTTCTTGGTTCTTTCGGTAAAGTTATTTGTATTATTTTATTATTTCCCTTCTACGTGACTTTACCGAAAGAACCAAGAATATAGAGTTCGCGTCGTTTTAATTTAGTTGGTACGTTCGAATACCACGTCCGATCACTTTCTGGCCCTTAACAAGAGCATTTTCAGCATTTGGCTCAATTGATCGTATGTAGGATTCGAATAAATGCCTAGGTGTCGGTATCAGTTGTGTTTCAAGGTCACAGGGAAACGTGTAACGGGTGGGCCACACCGAGAAGGTGGTCGGCCATCTCCCAAACCCAATACGTAGAAAGGAGAGTGTCGCAGATAACAAACAAAACACTACAACCGTGTATCATTGACTTTCATTGTATTCTCAAAGTTTACCAGATCAAAAATTTGTAATTTTCAAACTCGGGGGGTTTTGTTGTTGTTGTTGCTTACCTTGTACTTCCCCTTTGCTTGTTCTTGATGATGAAAATATTGTTTACAGATCTGTTCCAACCTCTAAATAACAAATTGGATACGCTCTACTTGCTGAATGCATTCGTGATGATGTCGCACTCAGGATTTGAATATAATTGCACAAGACAATATCCTTCCGGTTAAATTATCACAAGTAGTTCACGTGCGAATCCACACAATATTCTCTCAATAGGAAACGTGCCCTGTAATATGCTCATTGTTCAAAGGGCCTTGGTCAGAGGTTCTTTAGTGACGAGACCTCAGTGTTAGAGAATGGAATTCCCTCACCGCCTGCCATTTTGAACCACCAATACCTTGCTGATCTCGCCAAGGAGCATAAACGATCATCACGCAAACTTCGGTCATCCTCGCAGCGGCGGCTTTTGGCTAAGCCATCGAACAAAGACCGTCGCCACTTCGCGCACTTTCAGATGCGCTTCTGCGAACGTCTGGAACGCTCTTCCTTTCGATATCAGGAAGCCACCAGAGCTATGCATTTTTAAATAATCTAGATTGACAAACTCATTTATTTAGAACTGCTTTTTGTGTTTCGTTTGTTGTCCTTCCCCCGCACCTCCGATTAGCACGATTGGCTTCAACATTCATACATTTATTATGCCTCCCCTACAGTGAATGAAAGGGAGATGAGACATTACGACTTGTGAGTGTGGGAGGATGTGGTGATAGGGGCGAACATTGGATTATATCGAGGATTTTTGGATTCTAGGATGTTGAAGGGATATTGGAGATATTTGATCATTCTCGCTTCATTCATATCACTCCATGCCACTAGACGTAACTTGTTCTTCTGGGAAATGTACAGAAGGGACCTCGCGTTTTCGAAACAATCTGAAGGTGATGCTGGTTGCAATCACCAGAGAAACGGCGCGCTCAATCATAAGTGTTGTTGGGTTGCTCTTCAACACACCGGTGGTGCTGAAGCAGTAACCATAGTTCCATTTCATAGTTCCATTTATTTGGTATAGCCCTGTGAGCCATTCGGCTCTTGAATCGGGTGCAACCGCAACAAACAAAAAACAAGAACATGAACAAGAAAACATCTTAAAGTGACTATGTGTGACTGTGCAAACAGAAAATCCAGGAAAAAAAACATCAAAATATTCCTGAAATAGCACCGTACACCAACGCTGTGTGCAAAAATCAATTGTCTCGTTTTGTTCACGTGACAAACCTTACGGATTGGCTGTGTCGGGTGGAGGTGGGTGTACGACACTTTTACATTTACGTGACCTAACCGACAAAAAAACCGTTATCAACAATAACATTGTGGAATCTGTAACTACTAGCCCGAAATGTTGTATCTCGGCTCGATTTTTTATGATTTGATTTTTTTTCCCCCCTCTGAAAATCAGGAAGCACCAGCCGAGTATGGTGTGGTCATGGGGAGAACTTGATAGCAAGGAAAGACAGTTTACACGTGACAAACCGTTCGCCCTGTACGTACGTTTAACTTCTTTCGCACCCACCGTACGTAGCCAGCCGTGCTATTCGGAGGCACGGGGGAAGGACAACAAACTAAACACAAAAAAGGCAGTGTTACCTCGGTCATATCCCCGCCGACAGCGACACCGATCCATATCGCACCCAAAAGCCGTGGACATTTCTCTCCTCTGGCATTGTGGACGACACAGTCGTTCGCACTATTATTGACGTCGCCCGCGTTTTACTGAGGCATATCACGCAGTTAAGACTTCCTGTTATTTTCAATGTTTTTTTTTAATATAGCAAGAAAAGAAAGAAAGAAATGAACGTCTTTAGTTTACAAATATCATGGGAGTTGGTTTCACTGACCACGACTTGATTTATAATGATTATAATCTGACTTGTGTACATACAAAACGTGTTTTTTATTGTTTGCTTTTAATTGTTTA